CTCTATTTTCTATTTTTTTCGTTAAACGATTAAATGACGTGGATGGTCTAATGTACTTAATATCTCAGTCATTTGATGTTCTAGAGAGTTGTATATGGGCATGCCATGTGAACGAATGTCTAAATAATAATTTAAATAACCTTTAAAACAAAAAAAAAAGACCTTCAATAGGCATATTTAGCAATGCATTTTTAATCTTCAGAAAAAGAAATTTTGTTTTTGATTTACCCGGGCATAATCTCCCCCCATAGCACACTTCATGGCATATAACCAACTTCACAAACAATATTGCGTCAGAAAACTAGCACGTTGCAAAACATTTTATTTCATTTCAGTTTTTTGCACGACAAGCTAGCAACAACCCATTGGGTAGAGTTGGTCAACCAGAAGACGTAGCTAAAACAATCGCCTATCTAGCATCTGACCAGGCTAGTTATATTACTGGTCAGTTTATTTATGTTGATGGTGGACGACATTGTCTTAGTTCTACAACTTCCAAGTTCTAAAACTCTGTAGACAGATATCTTGATGTTGTCTATATAAATATGTACTGGTTCTTTACTGATTGATAACATTGTCTACAAATTAATCATATTGTTCAATAAATCTGCTATATAATACATATCTTGTTTGTTAAAGCTACAATATGGGAGATTAGATAAAGAGCTGACAGTTCTCGCTATAATAGTTAAAAACTAGATAATATAAAGGTAATTTGTTGAAAATTTCAGTCAAATTGGTCTACTATGAACCGAGATATCAGCTTTGTAAATTTCCGACTAGCCTCGTTCATCATTACTAAAGTTAGTACGTTAAAAAGCATAGTCTCGATTATCCATTGTTTTGATTTAATTATCAATGAGCGTTTGCAGCATATATGATTCTAATCCAGTCGATATCGAAGGCTAGCTTTGACATCGAGAGTTGATTATGGTCTGGATATGTCTAATTAATAATTTAGGTAAGATTTCGGGCCTAAAGAAAGACCTGCGATAGGCAGATTTAGCTCTTGCATAATGCATGCTGATCTAAGAGTGAATAGCACAACGCGTGGGCGTTAAGGAGTAGAGGAGGGGTTGGGGGAGGCTGGTATCGCGATCCAATGCGACTGTGAAAAGAGCCAGTTCGTTAGTTGCAACTCGTAGCTGGGATAAAGCGGTTTGCCACTGGATCACGTGGGTGACATAAGCTGTTGAATGAACGTAATCCAATGTTCTGGCTAGTTAGCTAAACGTAAGTTTTTATATGCGACTCTACGAGAAATATCCCCATTCTCAATTTAGACCCTTTATAACCGATCACTGATTCAATATTTAAATTATTTTAAACATACGTTAGTGAATTATGAGCCGATTTACTGCATAACTTTCCTTCACGATTTAACGATTAAATGCATAATCGAGACTATGCTGTTTATCGTACTGACTTTAGTAATGATGACCGAGGCTAGGCGGAAATTTCAATCCTTAGTTTTCGGTTCATAGTGGATCAATTTGAATGAAATTTTCAGCAAACTGCCTTAACATTATCTAGTTTTTAACTATTAGAGTGAGAACTGCCAACTCGTTATCGAATCTCCCATAATGTACCTTTAAATCATGTTTATAAAATCTGTTGAATCAGTTAATATAAAACATAATGTAATAAAAAGTTATGGTTATTTTTAACCGAAGACCCCATCACGATCAGACATGTCCACTAACTAATATGACAGTCTTTGGATATTTACATCCATAACATTTCGTCCAAATTGTGATAAACTAACCCAAGGGTCACTGTACGAATTTACTCAAGTGAAAACAATGCTCGGTGATTTACAAAGACGATTCGCCACGGCGGATAATTACGTTAAATATACTGAAGACTGCGATGACATTATACCGAAGACCCCATCACGATCAGACATGTCCACTAACTAATATGACAGTCTTTGGATATTTACATCCATAACGTAGATCCATGTAAGCTGAGGGGGCGTTTAATTAAAATGTGTGTTTGTTTTTTTGTTGTTTATTTTTTTTTGGGGGGGGGGGGGTAATTTGAATATTTTTGTTTTTAGTTTAAATAACTTTTTTCTTTTAATTTAAATAACTTTTTTTCTCTTAATTTAAATAACTTATTGCAATTAAATTGAACCATCTTTTATTCCCGACTTGACCTAGATTGTGTAGAGGGGGAAATAAGCCCTTGACTATAACTAATAATAAGAAAGGTCAAGAGGTTCATACAATTAATAATAAAAACTGAGCTGTACAGACGTCAGGTGCTCGTTGCATATTAAAGGATTGATATTAATAAACTATGTAAATAGACGTATACAATAAAAAATATTATATAGAATAGACAACACCCTTCTTCATATAAATCACGTGTATTAACATAATAATGGTAACTATATATATATATTGTAACACTGAATATTGTAGATTATATTTGGAACTATTTTTTTGACTTTGGGATTATGTTCTATGCCATTTTTGTGTTTGTGTGCATTTAAAAGGTAAGATTAACAGTAGAATAGAATCCCCTCTTAACTTAAATAACTATCTTAATACATTCAGTGGGTGGTGGATAGTAGGACGTTAAACCCCACCAATTTCTAAGTTTGAAGATTGTATTCTTTGCCAAGGTAACGTAGTGAATTACGTTACTTTTAGAGTTTTTGTGAATTTTAGGGACAAAACTTGACGTGGATTACGGGAATCGGGTTCTTTGAAAGTATTCTAGAAAGGCTAGAAATTGCAGACATTTTATACGTGAGATTAGTGGTTTTCTGGAGGAATGATGGAGGTGACATTAGTGGTTGAATTTGGGAATTATAAAGGTTACATTAGTGGTTTATTTTAGGAAGTATAGAGGTAACATTAGTGCTTGAATTTAGAAATCATAGAAGTGACATTAATGGTTTATTTTAGTAATCATAGAGGTGACATTGGTTCTTTATTTTAGGAATTATAAAGGTGACAGTAGTGGTTTGTTTTAGAAATTATAGAGATCACATTAGTGGTTTGTTTTAGAAATTAATATAAAGGTGACATTAGTGGTTAATTTTAGGAATTTTAATAAGTTTTACATTAGTGGTTAATTTTAGGAATTATAGAGGTGATATCAGTGGGTTTTTTTTTAGGAATCATAGAGGTGACATTGGTTCTTTATTTTAGGAATTATAGAGGTGACATCAGTGTTTTGTTTAGGAATCATAGAGGTGACATTGGTTCTTTATTTTAGGAATTATAGAGGTGACATTAGTGTTTATTTTAGGAATTAAAGAGGTGACATTAGTGGTTTGTTTTAGGAATTATAGAGGTGACAGTAGTGGTTAATTTTAGGAATTCTAGGGGTGACATCAGTGTTTTTTTTTAGGAATCATAGAGGTGGCATTAGTTCTTTATTTTAGGAATTATAGGGGTGTCAGTAGTGGTTTATTTTAGAAATTATAGAGGTGACATCAGTGTTTTTTTAAGGAATCATAGAGGTGCCATTAGTTCTTTATTTTAGGAATTATAGAGGTGACTAGTGTTTTTTTTATAGAGGTGGCATTAGTGGTTTATTTTATGAATTATAGAGGTAAGCTTACTTGTTGATTTAGTGGTGTGATTCGTAAATTAATTTTCGTTTATAAAACAAACAAGTTTGTGGTTGTATAATTTTAAGATCCCAGTATTGTTGACTGGGTTTATAATCAGAGAGATACGTAATATGATAATCTTATTTTAATATCATCATTAGCTTGGTTGCTGCAGAACAGTAGGGCGTTAAACCCCAATCCATTTTGTGATCTGTTATATCAGTTGTTGGAGAGGCCATTGTCCAGTCAAAATTCTCCCCTATTATTGCAAAAGGCAACTTGGTTTAAACACTATTTTATTCAACAACTTAAAACAGCTTTATCAGCTTATATTAAAACAGCCGCCCAAAACAAGGATAATAAACAATAATCATGTATTAGTCTCACAATAAAATAAGAATGGTGTTGACGAGACGTTAAAACCGTGTGCATTTCTCACATATAATGTCTTACAATAATGATAGTTCAATTGAACTTTTCACATAATATTCTTCTTTGTATTGCTGGGCCTCTTAATACGTGACGGCTAGTGCTACTCTATATTGATATAGTTGGGCCTATTATATACATGAATAAAACAGCTTCAGTCTGTATATTTAAATAGCGCACAATATCAATTGTATAGTTCAGCAAATTAAACGGTTGATTTTACCTTGAGGTCCAAATGTAAATATTGCTCAGGTTATATATGATCGACTCTGTCAGCAAGGTAGCCATTAGGTTTGACAAGTGTTGTTCACAGGGCAAAATATCATGAACTGTTACGTAACATAGGGGCGGATCCGGAGGGGGTGGTGAATGGGGTAGACCCTACCCCTCCTGCTTCTCTACATAACGAAAATTTTGAAACAACACTTTTTATGAGAAAATCGTCATGGTCGTGTGCGTTATCCTTTATTATCAGATGGTTCTACTATGACGGATGGTCGTCTGACAAACTTAGTCCTAATGAATGTTAACTGTACTTTCGAGCTAGATATCGATGACATTGTAGAACGATTCATCAAAAACAACGACTTCGTTTATTCTGCCCATTATATTTGTAGTCATAATTGTGCAAAACTCCATTTTAGGCTCTTGTCAAGTTATATGTGCCCCGGTGTATTTGAAAAGAATAAACGTATAATTTATGCGATGAGTTTTCTTGATATTCAGCCATATTTTGATTTAAGCTAAAAATGGAGGAGCGAGACTTAGCTTCGAACGGTGGTTGAAATTATTGCACAGGTCTTGTCAAATCTTCAAAGGCTAGTATATTCGCTCGCAATAGAGTAATTTGAATGAAATTTTCAAATTATTCATTTTACATTATCTATTTTCGAACTTTTATGGCAAGAATGGCTAGGTCTTTATCTAAATCTTACATAATGTATCTTTATCAAAACAAAACTGCACTTGTTCCGATATGTGAACCCTTTATTGTTTATTTCAGATGTGGATGAGAGTATCAAAACAGACGGTGTTTAATTTATTTATTTCTTGTGGTTTTGTTTTGATGTTTGTACAACTGAATCTCCTACATCAAAATATGCCACAGGAAAATAAAAACCTTCCAAATTCTGGAGAAAATAGTGAAAAGGACACCCATAACACCAATAAAAATGGCACGAACGAGTTAAATGTAAACGCAGAGAAAGCTGGAAATACAAAGGAAGCAGAACATAAGGGTGCAAATCTACTATCTTTAAACGCAAGTCAAGATGATTCAAACCAGATGGCTGATAACCAGGAGGAAGACAACGACGACACATTTCGTCCAAATTGTGATAAACTAACCCAAGGGTCACTGTACGAATTTACTCAAGTGAAAACAATGCTCGGTGATTTACAAAGACGATTCGTCACGGCGGATAATTACGTTAAATATACTGAAGACTGCGATGACTTTATACGGAACAGAAAATACAAGATGGATGTGACTCAAGAAGAGGGAGATTTTCCACTCGCGTTTAGTATTGTCACATACAAAACTGTCGAACAAACGGAAAAATTACTGCGAGCCATTTATAGGCCCAGTAACTACTATTGTATCCATGTCGACAAAAAAACTGAAGAAAATACTAAAACCGCTTTTAATCAAATCAGTCGATGTTTTAATAACGTCTTCATCTCCTCGAGATCTGTGAATGTGAAGTGGGGAACGTTCAGTGTTATTGAACCCGAGTTTATCTGCATGCAAGATCTATTGAAATATTCATGGCGATATTTTATAAATCTAACTGGCCAAGACTTTCCTCTTAAAACTAACCTTGAACTAGTCCAGATACTGAAATCTCTACGTGGCGCCAATCTCGTCGATGGCTCCATGAATCTGTAAGCATTAAATTATATATTCTTAAATGAAATGAAATGGGGTCATAGCCGTCAGGGCTCGATTAGTTTTAGGGGACAGAACCTTAAATCGGGTTACAGACGGCGGTGCGGGTCGTCTAACGAGAGGACGTAAACTCGTTTTCCTGTTATTCCAGCCCGTGAATACAGCAAAGAGCAACTTCAATGTGCCATGTGGTCCAATATAGCCAACCTTACGTGGCTGACCAGAATCCCAAACAACCAATCAATGTCGCCTTCCACGAGAAAATTTGAAAATTTAAATGCAGCAAATGCGTTTTTCTGCTATTCTAGCCCATGAGTTATGATTTAGCAGCTGAATTAAAAAATCAAAAAAAATCGATGCTCCAAAAATGTCGCACAAATTAGAGTGGTTCCAGTCAAAATGTTCTATTTCATAGTCAATTCAGTACAAATTCGTGGTGTTCATTTAAAAAAAAAAGTAAAATTGGTGTTTTATTAGTTTTGTGCACTTTATTTTGCCAACTAGATGAAATAATATTTTTTGTTTTCCCTTTACCCGTCTGTCCAAAAAGTCAGATTGCCCGAAAGTTAGGGGTCAGCCCCCCCCACTCTGTCCCCAGGCTCGTAAGCCCATGAATGGGTTTCAGAGCCCTATTTTGCAGTACCATTTGGGGTAATGAAGACAAGCAATGTAATAATCAGAGGGGTTTCCCTCTACCCTTTCTCAATTTCCGTGACGGGGTATTTATCATTATGTGCACGCCCATCGAGATTTTCCGGCGTGGTTTGCCCTTGTCAATGATGCAGGAAAGAGGGTCTGAAGAGACAGCTATCTAGTCTTTCGGATGGGACGTAAAAGAACTATTGGCAGTTGGAATTAAGCGTAGGCCATTGTGTCGCTGCTCGAGCAAAATTCCCCTCATAGCACACTGTATGGTGTATGCCTGTCTTCATTAGCCCAGTCGGAGCAGAACAGTAGGACGTTAAACCCCATTTCATTTCATTTCATTTATAATTATGAGCACGCCAATCAGTACATTGGTGGCCCCCGAGTGTTCGTCCCATCCGAACGACTAGACACCTTTCTTTGTCAGACTCTCCGTTCTGCGTCCTGACAATTGGAAACGGGCTGAAAAATACCGAGGAACTACCTTGGTCAACAACGGGGTTGAACCAATGACATCTTGGTTTAACGCGTGCGCGCTGCATCATAAGGGAGGTCATTGAGTCAATTGTCGTGATATCGATTCCCCACTTCTACGCGACAAGAAGTAGGATCGCCCGTCCAACCTCCTGGGTTTTCTCCGGGTTCTGTCCACTGCTAAAGACCCCTATGCGCAGTCAAGTATAATAATGTCTCTCTCTCTCTGTCTCTCTCTCTCTGTCTCTCGCTATGCTCACTAATTGGTCTAGCAAGGTAACAATACAGTGCCCCAGGATGCGATAGCTTCCTAAAGTTTATTGCATAATTAGATGTATTAATTCTATTCCAGATCCGGTAAAAAGGACGAAGAGTTCACAAAACGATGGAAAGAACATGCCCCAGCACCACATAAAATCAAACCTATAAAGGGCAACAGCCACATAGCCGTAATTAAAGGTTTTGTGGAATTTATTTTACACGATAAAAGGGTGGTCGATTTTACATCATGGGTGAAGAAAACAAGAATGCCAGATGAAACGTTTTTCTCGTCTGTAAATTACAATCCACATCTACGAGCACCCGGAGGTCTTAAAGGTAATTACAATATTAATTGTAATCTGAAAGGAAATTACATTATTGGATTGATTGTAATCGAAATCTAAATACAATAGTATGGTATTTGTAATCTTAAAGGTAGTTACCATATTGAGGATGATTGTAAGCTTAAAGGTAATTACAATATTAGTGGTTTATTGTAAAGGTAATTACAACATTATCGGTGGTTGTAAATATAATTACAATATTAGCGGAGATTGTAAAGGTAATTACAATATTAACGGTGATTGTAAACTGAAACATAATCCGAAATCTAATTACAATAGTATGGTATTTGTAATCTTAAAAGTAGTTACAATATTGAGGATGATTGTAATCTTAAATGTACTTACAATATTAGTGGTGATTGTAAAGGTAATTACAACATTAGCGGTGGTTGTAAAGGTAATTACAATATTAGCGGTGATTGTAAGGTAAATACAACATTAGCGGTGATTGTAAACTGAAACGTAATCACAATATTATGGATGATTGTAATATTAAAGGTAATTTCAATATTTGGGGCGATTGTACATTTATATCCTGTAAAGTCACTTTAAAGTATTATGTATGTTGCTTCTTTTAATTTTTCAGATCACAGAAAATTGAATCATTCTGTGTTACCATATATAGCTCGATTTAAGAATTGGGGCACAGCTTGGGGTACAAACTATTTCAATTGGCCATGTCAGGGAAAACGTGTTCGAGAACTGTGTGTTTTCGGAGTGGGTGATCTCCCTTTATTAACAACCCGACAAGAACTGTTCGTTAATAAATTAGATATAGAATATGATCCGTATGCTATAGATTGTTTAGAAGAGTGGATGAATAACAAGGAATCCCAGCAATTATCAGGAGAATCTCAGTTTAAAGTGGATTTTTATAGAAATTTATATGTTGTTAAAAATAGAATATAAAAGAAGATTGGCTGTTTGTGATGGTTGCTGCAGAGAGTCCCAATGAAAAAAGGTTACAAATGGCCCTCCGTAATGCACCACTGACACTGGGAAACCATGCCGGAAGATAAGGATAAACTTTCTCGATCAACACCAGGAGCAAACTGTGACCTCCCGGTTAGTGAGCCAGTTACTCACTGGCAAATTACAACAGGGTTATACTGAATGTGGTAAACTACAAGGGGGTTATATAGAATGTGGTAGCCTAAACTCCAAGGGGGTTACATAGAATGTGGTAGATTACAACAGGTTTATACTGAATGTGGTAGATAACAACAGGTTTATACTGAATGTGGTGAATTACAGCAGAATCATACTGAATGTGGTAAATTACAACAGGGTTATACTGAATGTGGTAAATTACATCGGAGTTGTATAGAATGTGGTAGATTACAAAGCTTGTGTACAAGGGGGTTATATTGGATGTGGTAGATTACAACAGTCTAGATAGACAATGTATTGTATAGCACATCAGGAATCCAGATCTAGAATCCTCAGAATCCCTACCTCAAAACCAATGTAACCATGATGATTGTTTAAATAAAATAAATTTATTTACAATAATTACATGTTTACAGTCTGATTTAAGCACTTAATATAAAAACCTAATACATAACTAAACATAAACAATAACATTAGATTCAATGGATAACCTACAACATTTCATTCAGCATGGTCTAACATATGGAAATTAAAATTAAAATTTATTGCATTTCTGGTTCTTATTTTATATGGACAATTATCAAATAAAATTTATTCTGTTTCCCAATAACAGGATTATTTTTCAACAAATTTAATCGTAACTGTGTGGAGATTTGTTGCTGATCTGACATTGTGTGTATTACTAGAGCGTTCACAAAGTTTCCATAACAAAGGCAGTATTTCTTTCAAAATTTGTAAAGTGACTCAAAAAAACCAAACTGATCCACCATTGTGTGTATTTTCCTGACCATAGTAAGACTATTATCAGACGATGACCCCTTTAATTAGTTCGGGCACCATATCTTGTCTATCAGATCTAATACACACAGTTCTGTGCAGGGAGAGGGGAAGAGAGCCTGACAGCCCTGGACATCCATTTCAGGAGGGCATCCAGTCAAAGAGTGAAATTAAAATTAAAAGTTTTTTGGAGAATTATTGCTGTTAAATTTGTTGTACAACTGCTCTAATGAATTTTTATAAAAAATGTTTGTTCCATCTGTTTGTATACATAGTTAAACTGTCTCCCTTTCTCGCATTCTTGGGTACTAGGCCCCTTGCGACCATAAATTCAAGGAGTTGGTTCCAGGCATCACAAAAACCTCTATACACCACTTCATACACAGCTCTGATATGAACATGTTCCGGTCAATTCATCCTTCTCTCTAAAACGCTAGATCAATATTTCCTCATCTGTTTTTTAAATTTTTCGTAATGGAAATCATCAGTGGCTTTCTCTGTTTTATTGTTTGATGATGAGTCTGTAAATAGTGAATAATAAATTAGATGTAAATTTCCTAAGCAGTGTCGGCAACATAATAGAGTTACTTCCCTTGCCAGAATAGCTGCAAAGACAGAGAGAGAGAGAGAGAGAGAGAGAGAGAGAGACCCATACAACAAAAACTAGGTCATTTTGGGAACAACCTGTGGCATAATTTTATTTAAATAATCTGCATGTGTGTAGCAGCTTAGGATCTTTAGCAGTAGAAGGGACCCATAGGAAACCTATGAGGTTAGGCAAGATGCTCTAGCCTCTGTTACGTATAAGCCTAGGAATGAAACCTCAAACACTTGAGTCAAAGACAGACCTTGTGAGAAAAGCGCACTCAAAAGTGCCCCACCCCGAAAATAAAAAAACAAAGTCTTCATTCAAAAATATCTGTAAAAGCTAAAATATGATAATCAACAAAATTTTACCTTTTGAATTGGCAGAATCTGTATCACCGACCCGTAATGGTTCAGGTTCCGGTTTTACTTCTGGCTTCTTTAAAATAGGTGCTGTATCATCAATATTAACTGTAGAGACAATACAAAACAAATACAGAAACTTATTATTTAAGCACACAGACCTGTCAATCAACAAGCAGTCTATTGAAAACGTCCATCATAGCGTCCCAAATTAAGGAGCATGATCTCCCTGTCAATTGGACAGGAATAGTTTCAATTCTAAGAATGGAAAGATAAATTGAGTTCACATGTATACAATTGACTGTTATAGATCCTAAAGAGTGGGAGGAAACCAGAGGATGCTGGGGAAAAAAATTAGGTTAGATAGGCGACCCTTACTCCTTGTAACATACAAGATTAAGACATTAACCTTGACACTTGACTCAATGACAGACCACTTGACCACCAAACATCAAATTTTAATGAAATATCTTACATCTATTATGCTGTACAAAATTGACTGCCATGTTTGTTGGTACAAAGTCTGAAACTTCGTTTTCTTTTTTTCTTCTTCTTTCTTGAATAAGTCTTTGTTTTGCTTCTTCTGTAGCTTCTATATTTTTTATTTTGGCTCTGAAAATATTTTAAAAGGACAAAAAAATATTAATAAATTAGCATCCTACTTTTCTGCATTGATCCATGCAGCTGCCATGGAGGAAATTTTGTCCAGACAAAATTCCAACTGTAAAGGGTTCTTTTATGTGCATGTCAATGGGTACACAGATCTTGGTTTTTTGTCCCATCCAAACAACTATTTTGTCCTGCACCACTGACAAGGGGGAACCACGCCGGAAAATCCCGATGAACACATGACCTCCAGGTTAGTGAGTCAACGTCTGACTCACCAATCCACCGCAGCTCTCAGTCAACGTCTTACTCACCAAGCCACCGCGGCTCCCAGTCAACATCTTAATCACTGAGCCACCAAGTCAATGTCTTACTCACAGTTACTTACCCTTGTCCTAGAATCCGAGATAAAAATTGAGAGGAAGAGAAAGTGGGTTTGATGTCCACCAGGTCATTTTGAGACTCAATAACAGACCTTACGATCACCATGATTACTCCACGATTAAAACCATGATTTCAATCCCAGCACGAATCGTGATAGTGGAGAGAGAGAGAGGGTTTAACATCCACTCGACACAAACTAGGTCATTTTAGGACTAACACATGATTCAATTTTATTTCACTAATTCGCTTGCGCGTAGGGGTCTTTAGCAGTAGGAGGAAACCGGAGGATCCGGAGAAAACCCACGAGTTTGGACAGGCGACACTACTCCTTGTCACGTACAACCAGGGAATTGAAACCATGACAGTTGAATCAATGACAGACCTTATGATACAACACGCAGGTGCTAACCATTCGGCCATCCAACCCCCCTTGTGATAATGGGAACCTAGCATAAGATATTACATGATCATCTTACGGCTGCAGAATCTAATTATAAACTTACTCTATTCCGAGATCCACTTCAGGTATACCAGATAACATCTGATTGGACAACATGTCTTCAGATTTTTTAGAATTCGATTTAATCTGAAGATAATCGGGTAGGTTATACAATTGGTCATCATTTTCCTCCGTTCTGAAAAAAAGTTTAACCAAAATATTATAACAGAAACTGTCACTTTTCAAAATTTGAAACCACTGGTGTTGAAAATCGGATATACGATTGTATCTGAATGAAATAGAATGTAGTGTGTGCTGCTAGGTGATACAATATTATGGTGAGGAATATATTAAACATGCATTATAGCTAAATTTTCCCACTGCTAGTCTTTCTTTTAGGCCTTAAATGTTACATAAACTATTAATTAGACATTTATTTACATGGCAAGACCATAATCAACCCTCATTGTCATCGGATGTCCCCGATTTTAAGTAGATTAGAACGGTTCAGCAATATTTTGAATTAATTTAAAAATGGAGAGGCAAGGCTGAGCTTAGAACAACCAGTATGGTGGTTACAACCAATGTACACTTCCTGTCCAACCTTCAAAGGCTAATATCTTAACACAGAATAGAGCAATATGAATGAATGGCCAGCTCTTTATCTAAATCTTACATAATGTATCTTTAAATTAGGTTTTTTCTCTTTACTTACGGAAGGATACCTCCTCCATTCTCTTCTTGAGCAGATCTTCCTTTTCTTTTAGCTAATTCTTCTTCCACATACTTCACCCTAAAATATTAATATTACATTTACCCAGATATACATGTATAGCTTCATAGAAACAAATTAAATAATCAAGCCAGGCAAATGCCATACAATGTGGGAAACTTTGTGCCGATTGCTGTGCTATGGCCTACTCTTATTTCAACTTCAAAACTGTCAACTGATTCCTAACGTGCCTACAATGGTATACATCATGGGACCCCGTTTTTATCCGTCCAAAGATCATGGCAATTTTCCTTGTTCAGCCAACCTCCCTGCACCACTAAAAAGCCTAAGAAACTTCTCAGCAAACACCATGATCAGAAGCTCAGCATGCATCATGATCAGACTCTAAGCAAACATTGGGACAAAGCCAGTTGAATCAACATACAAGTAATGGGCAATTATTAGTCTCTAGTCATTGAAAATTACTTTACATTTGAGAGAGGAATGGGGTTTAACAACAACTCAACAGAAACCAGGTAACGTTTGGACTAACACATGGTACAACTTATTTTTTATAATCTGCTTGAATATAATGAGAGGAAACCAGAAGCTCTGGAGAGAAAACCCACAGGGTTAGGTATACGACCCTATTCCTTGTCACGTACATGTGTGACTGTGAATCTGCACCACTTGACTCAATGACAGACCTTATGAGCTAAAGCATATTTGGCCACCCTACCCCCTTCCACCCTATTTTACGTAGGTGAGAAACTTATGTTTACTATCCTTACATTTCAGCATCTTCATCTCGTCTATTAGTTTCTGCAGCAAAGGCCGTTCCAATAGCCTCTGTTACTTCAGCGTCAACTTTCAATGGTCTGGAAAACAAAACATTGTAGTAGATCAGTTAGTAAAAACAATCCTAATTCAAGCAAGAGCACCCCAAAAACAGCAAATGCATAAAAAACTAAATACAAATGTCAAATTCAGGTTAATATCAAACATCTTCAAGGGTTAAAATCATTTATTTTTTTAGAAAATTAATCATATTTTAAAACTTACTTTGATTTTAAAGCTTTCATATCAACAAATCCACCTGTTTTCATCTTAAATGGATCACACTGTAAATAATATAAATAAATAATAACTCTAATAAGCTTCGGCATGATAAAATATATCAATGCCCAAAGACATAATGTTTAATATATTCATTGTCAGTAATGCAAGACAAGGGGAAGGTACAAAGTATAGCCATTTGGATAGGACATAAAATCAAGACCCTGTACACATTGGCAATTTGGCATACAAGCAAAAGAACCTTTAGAAGTTGGAATTCGCTATACATTTGTAAGAGTAGACAGTACTATATGGCAAATGCCCGTCTTGATTAGCCCGGTCGGAACAGAACATTAGGATGTTAAACTCTATTTCATTTTATTTTCCATAAATTTAAAGGTCACAATGAACCCAAGCTGTGAGCAACTTGAGTATGACTGGCATGGAGTCATCCATGTTTATGATCAAGCCTTACAGTGAAACACTTGTGTTTAGTCTTGGGTTGCTAACAATACATGGTACAGTACCGTATATCAAATCACTTACCGTATCTGATTCAACTGTTTTGGGTATTTTCTTTCCTAGAGCTAAACTGGCCGCACTGACTCCTTTCTGACGACCCCGACATTTCTGTAATTCTCTTATTTCTTCTAATTTAGTTCTGAAATATACAAATAAATGACAATATGTGTAAAAATATGCTGTGAGAGAAATTGTGCCCGGACAGCTGCAATACAGTCTACTTTCCTTTCAAATTCCAAATGCGAGGGTTCTTGTACATGTACATGCACAACAATGTGGTAGGGATAATATATATATATCGCATCCAACCAACAAAATATATTAGGCCTACCTATTCCAAATTATTCACATTTTCTTATTTTCATAGTAGAAGTGCACGCATTTGATAGGCATGTATACTAAATATAAACAGCAGGCTACCTAAAATCAGATTCACTACACAGTACCAATAATTAATTAACTATTTGGATATACTTGGTATATAAAACTTCATTGCAAAGATCATCCATGGGGACCATGGCTTGCACGTACATATAAAACAGTTGTCATGATAATTTTCTTATTGGAGAGAGAGAGAGAAATGGGGTTTAACATCCACTCGACACATACTAGGTCATTTCGGGACTAACATATGGTTTAATTTTATTTCAATAATTCGCTTGCTGTGGGGGGAAACCAGGGGACCGGAGAAAAACCCCGAGATTGCACAGGAGACCCTACTCCTTGTCACGTACACCCGGGGATTCTAAACCACAACAGTTGACTCAATGACAGGCTGTATGATACAGCACGCAGGTGCTAACCATTCGGACACCCAACCCCCTTTTTTCTTATTGGCTTTCATAAGATTCTTAAATGGTTAACTGTTTGACCTAAAATTTTAAAGATTAACAGAATTCGATTAGGTATCCACACTTCCCGGGGTTCTCCTCGTAATAACATACATTACATATGTAGATGATCACTACACATATTATAACAATAATGAATGCTGACTATTCTGCACTGTTGGAGAAGTTATTGTAGTCATTCATTCCCTGACAAAACCTCTAAACCCTTCAGTAGGTCCTGTGTGTGTCATATCATATAAGAACGAGCATTTATTGTATTTTGAGGTTTCCACTAGAGTACACACATGAGTGTCAGTATAACACTGGTTCTAAAATAATATAAGGGGTCGTTTTGGAATGATTTTATGAATTTCGGATAAAATTTCAAAACAAAATCATTTTCTATCTACAACATACATTGCTTCTTCTTCTTTTTCCGAATCTTCGTCGCTATCCGAAGAGTGTCGACGCTTTCTTAACACTTTATTCACTTTTCTTTTCTTAAATTCGGCCATGTTTATAAAATCAACACTATACGTACCTCCAACGTCAGAGACAATATTCCAAGAGTAATCTCCCTTACCGCAATCCAAGATGCACGAGTCACACGCGGTGTTACTTTAACATAGGCGTGTACCTAGGGCGGATCCAGGAATTTTTGCAGGAGGGGATTTGCCGGGTTCCTGTTAGGGAAATTTGACAGTTGACAATGCATGATGCCACCATCATCTCCAAATTACGTAGGCATACATACACACACTGAACTTTTTAAAGAGGGAAATCCAACAACCCGCTTGACGTCAATAATACTTTTTAATAGGCTAATTATGAATTAATAAGATCACACTGTGATTCAATTTCATTGATACAAACCATTAATTGTGAATCACATATCATTATCTCGCGCTTTAAATGCACCTCCCATCCCATCATCTGGTGATAAAGGATAAAGCACACGACCGTGACACGTTTCTCATAAAAGTGTTCTTTTTATAATTATTTTTTTTTAAGTAACTGAGTGGGATGCACCCGCAAACCACCCCTCTGGATTAGCTCCTGCGTACTCAGTTTTGCAATGTGAACGTTTATTGACCTTGTATGATTACAGTTTTATGCCTTATCAACGAAAACGAAATCCAAATAAAACAGGTAGGCCTACTTCTCAATCCTTTTTCACTCGCAAACTTCTTGGACCATGTTCGCGCAATATTTTGACAAAGAGCGAAGCGAGTTAATAAATGTATTCTACTATACGTCTAGTCCTTTAATGATACAATACTTACTTTTCACGATTTTATATAATAAATGATGGACTGATAAATAAATAAAGAATAGAGATATTGCAAGATTATTCTTAATTATGCTTAATGTTAGCTGTGTCAACACTACTTATTGTCCCAACTGTCAGAGTAGACTATAGGAGGTCTGGTTTTTTTCCCATCCGAACGGCTAGACTGTTTCCAGGAGCTATGTATTGAATCTTTCACAAGCGAATCCAAGACCCGATAATCGGGTATGGAACGAAACGAACTGAAAGTCCCATCTTTCTGCACCGTCTGGCCTAATGTAGTGGGCTATGAGGAAACTTTTGCTCAGACAGTGACGATAAGGCCTACTCTTATTATGGAATTCCAGCTGCCATGGGGCATTTCATGTGCATGCTAATGTGCATACGGGTCTTCAATTTTCCGTCCCATCCGAACCACTATACGTTGTCCCTTGCCAGGCCCCCATAGTCCTGCACCACTGACAAGGAGACATGCCGGGTATTTAGCAGTGGGAGGAAACCGGAGCGCCCGGATATAACCCACAACGATGGGGTCTTCATCGAATTACAAATGAACTTGCACGTGAACTTGGTTTGTCACGCCATCCAAATGACTAGACGCCTTCCTTGCAAAGATCTGCTACCGGTTGTTCAAAGCTCCGTTAACTTTCTATATAGGATAAAACTCTTCAGTGTTCTACAGAATTTTGGGGCCTGTGGGAAATAATGACCCCAAAGTATTCTATAGTTTCTGTAGTGGAAATCATTTAGTTTTTCCTACAGATTTATGGTCAAATTATTTCAGTGTTTTCTGTAGGAAATTCTTCAGATATCTATCTTTATATCTTTAATCAAGTTAATCAAGGAAATTCTAAAAATATCTTTATGTCTTTAATCAAGTTTTTTGAACATACATATTATTATAAATGTGCATTGGATTTCAAATTTTAAATTCAGCAAATAACCAAACAGTCTTCCGTTGGATTAAATTTAATCAGTCCGTTAGCTAACGGATAATGAAATTAACTTTCCAGCAACAGAAATATAACGGACCGTTAACAAACGACACGTTAGCAACATAACGACCCGTTAACAGTTCATCCAGTGGCAGTGACATGCCGAAGATTCGGAAGCCGTTATGAAAATACTACCAGTTCCCTAAATAAAACAGGGGGTCACGGTGGCTAAGTGGGTAAGACGCTGGCTCGCTAGCCTTGAGGTCGGGTGTTCGATCCCTGCATTGGACGAGAAAGTTCATCCAGATTTTTCGGCGTGGTTCCCCCTTGTCAGTGATGGAGGACGGAGGACCTGATAAGGACAGCTGTCTAGTCGTTCGGATGGAATGAAAAACCGAGGTCCCGTGTACACATTGGCGTGCACGTAAAAGATCACTTGACAGTTGGAATTCGTTATTTTATAAGAGTAGCCCAGTTCGGAGCAGAACAGTATGACGTTAAACCCCATTTCATTTCATTACTAAATAAAACAATGAAATGAAATGGGATTTAACGTCATCCTGTACTGCTCCAACTAGCCTAATGAAGACGGGCATACACCATGCAGTGTGCTATGGGGGACCTATTCTTATATCGAAAACCAACTGTCAAGGTTATTTTACTTGCCCGCCAATGTTAAGACATCGGTTTTTCGTACCACCCGAACAACTAGCTGCCGTTCCACTGATACTAAAAATAACGCAACGAGAGTTATAGAAAATAATATATATTTTAATCTAACCAGCATAATAACAAAAAAAGCAACAGATGTAATTCATGAATCCTATTTGACTCATCTCCTCGATGGATACGTGATCATATTATACAAGTTTTTCCCTGTATAGAGGTGGACAGATGATAATATTCAGAAATTAACAATAGACTAAAAAAACAAACTTTAATGGTCCACAATTCTTTAATTTCAAAACGCACAACGGCTAAACATTTATACAAAGGTCGCTCTACTGGAACGCCACACGAAGAACAAAACATCAAAATAATAATCGGTGAGTTCTAATACTATCTTGAGTTGTAGATCAATAACAAATGGTAAAAGCTAGTCAGCCTTTCCGACACCAGCGCATTCTTGTATACATATAATACTGGTATTAATGTTATTTTTAAAAGAAATCTTTAAGCTAAACAAGATTAAAAATAATACGGTTTCTGTCTCCTTTCACCATAAAACTACAATTATGCTATTAACTATCAACTATTTATTATAAAAGTTTAACAGATGTAGGTAAAAATCATATCTTTAAGGTGCTGGTGTGAATCTAAGATAACTCTTTCCCGATGGTACCTCCACTGTCTTTACTCCCTTAGGGAACAGTTTAGCAGCATCTTCCTTGGACACACTTGGCACTACCATACATTCCTGACCAGGCTACACAATATACAAAATACATAATATATCAAATAAAATAACGTTTACCGTCCCACTGTTCTGCACCATACAGTCTGATATAAGACTGACCGGACTCTGCCGGACCTTTTTTTTAATTCCAACCGCAAAGGGGTCTTTTACGTGCACATGAACGTATACAAGGCCCCCCCCCTTCCGCCGGTTTGTCTTCGAATTCGAACCAATTCCAACCATAAAACGACTCCGACAACTAGGACATTGCAGAAATATAAAATATATAAAAAAAAATACGGAACAACTAACGGAAGGAATTTCTTTTGAAAAACATCTTAATTTAATAAATAAAAGAGAATAAATAAATAAATAAATAATTACCCTCCAATCTACAGGAGTGGCCACTTTATGTGTAGCTGTTAATTGTAACGAGTCGACAACACGTAATATCTCACTGTAATATACAAATTATACAATCAATAATATACATTCTACAACGGGGGGGGGGGGGGGGGGGGTAACGTTCATCAACACAATTTAGTTAATTTCAGGACTTATATACTGATCAATTTTTATTTCAATAATTCGCTTGCGCGTCGGGGTCTTTAGTAGTGGGAGGAAATCGGAGGACCCGGTGAAAACCAACGAGGTTGTACGGGCGACGACATCATTTGACTTTAAAGTTAAACTTCGGAGTGTTCAAAGTAGATGGTGTACAAATATGGACACTAATTTGTAGATTCGTTAGTGCCATAATAATATTTCATGATTCTTTATGAGTCGGATACATTATAATCTTTCGAATTGAGGTTTTCGCGGATTTCAGAGAAGTTTGGTGATGCCCGGGCAAAACTCCTCCATTGTCAGTCACCAATACCCCAGTATGCGGCCTAGTACTGAGACATATGAGAAATGGAGATATTTTATACACATGAAAACGTTTCTTATCCAAACGAGGAGACCAGCTACCATTGTATGCCAAAGTTAACACGAATAATTTCACATTTCAACAAATTTAATTTTAATTTCACTCTTATGATTTGACGCCGCCCTCACGTCGCGAGACTGTTTCAAGGGACGCGTGTGCGCAAAAGTTTCGTACAGGAGAACGCACTACACATCAGGGGCTAAGTGAGGGGGGTGCAATAACGAGCTTTGCGTCATGGTTTTGAGTTTTTGCGCAACCTTGAGTTTTTGTGCCTCCTCGCAAATGGCAAAAAATCAACATTATAATCATAATGCTTAACCAGTGTCAAACATATACCGTGGGTCAGATATTACCCAGCGGCACTTACCGCCCCCCCCCCTCCCACACGCCCCTGTTACACATTATAAACAAACAAAATACCATGTGACAAACCCGCGAACACCAAAAGGTAAATACATGTATGCTTCCTTAAATATTATCCTATTTTAGGATAGTGCAAATTGGGTTATATATTGGTATATACTTACTCGAAATTGCGACCTGTTGTAGCTGGGTAGAGCAAGGATAGTTTTAACTTTTTACCTGGTCCAATTATAAATACCTGAATAACACAAATTAATAAATTGAAAAAACATTGTAAATAGAACAGTCAAATCGCATACTGTTAAATTTCCAGTTTTCTTTGTATTTACGTATTAAATTTGTAATAGGTCTAGACCGTGGAATGCTGCTGGGTTTGTTTTCGGGTACCGTCACTTTATCAGAATACGAATCAACGATATAAATTTCAATTTCATTTAGTAATCATCATCACCATCGACATTTTGGCTGTCGTAATAAAAACATGCTATGGACCAAGAACTTAGCATGATGTCATCACGGCCATCTTAGAATTTCTGTCAAAGTCTGTCAATTCAATCGATGAGCATCCCAAGTTTCATGTGCACCGTACTCTTAATTTGAGAAGCCGAAGGTTTGTTTTCGAAGAGCGGGTAGCGCTTGGGGATAAGTACCTCGTCCAAAATGAGTAGCGCTTGGGGAATAGTTCCTCGTCCACAATGAGTATAGCGCCTGGAGAATAGTTCCTAGTCTAAAATGAGTAGCGCCTGGAAAATAGTTCCTCGTCCAAAATGAGTAGCGCCTGGAGAATAGTTCCTCGTCCAAAAGGGTAGCGCTTGAGGAATAGTTCCTCGTCCAAAATGGGTAGCGCTTGGAGAATAGTGCTTCGTCCAAAATGAGTACTGCTTGTGGAATATTCCTTGTCCGATAGAGTAGCGCTTAGTGAATAGTTCCTCGTCCAAAAAGACGACCAATAGTACTAGTACTATTTGAAATAATGTCCGATGTCGTTCGAAACCAAAGCAAACACGTAAATATAAATTTCATTCAGTTGAGATATACTTGAGCTGGAGACCAAGATGCCCATTATAAGAATACTTCCTATTTTTCAGTACGAGTATTACGTAAATATGACAACAAAAACTTACAGCTCTACAAGTTAGCGGCATTCCAGCGGCATCTCTTTCATCTGGATCAACCATTCCTAGCTTTACGGCCAAACTTCTATCTGTATCAGCGATGATAGGGTAGGGTAGAGTACCCGATTTATCTTCAGCAAATCTTAATACATCCTAAAGTTTCATAGAAAAATACAAATAGTATAAAAATAGAAAAATCGAGGTTCCGTGTACACGTTGGCGTGCACGTAAACAAAAACACCCTGACAGATTTCCATGAAGCGGAAACGTCGCTGTCCGGACAAAATTTCCCTCACAGTGCATGGTGTATGACGGTCTTCGTTAGCCAAGATGGCACAGGAAAACCCCATTACATTATCATAATATATTACTGAGGGATTGGGTAACAGAATGGCCCGGATGTCTAATCTTACGAGTTAAGACATTACAAGGCCCCGTTTCTCGAAATCTTAACTAAGATAAAACCCAAATTTTAGTAGATACTTCAATTTTGATTGGCTAATCACTAAAATCAATCGAATATTATGCAATCAAATTACTAAAATTTGGATATAACTTGGTTAAAATTTTGTGAAACAGGTCCCATCTTAAATAGTTCCCCTTTCTGACCCACCATATCGTTGGCAGGAATATATTAATCCGTTAGTACTTAGTTTTCACTGACACTCTTTATTCTGTCTTGTATGTTCATTTACTGAAGATACCTAGTGCTATACAATTACAGAATCTTACACAGTTCCCGCCCCGACCCACTATACTGTATATACAGTACAGTCATTCTGATCGTGTTCACGGACTATGGCCACAGTTGATCACATCAGATTCTTTCAAAGATTAGCACAAACCTTAGCCCATCCATTATGGCTGTTGACATCATCACACGACAAGGCAATCAACTTAACATTGCGTTTCTGGAATTCAGGAACTAGTTTAACAACTCGTCCTAATTCTGTTGTACAGACAGGTGTGTAGTCCGCCGGATGAGAGAATAATATGGCCCAGCTAAAAGATATAAAGATAAACAATCTGTATAAAGTCTTATATACATAGCATGCCCAAGAATGACGCGTATTACAAGGTAGGTTTAAGTGTTTAACGCAATCTGTATTAGTAATAATATAAAGAATAACTTTTGGGACGAAGATTGGATGGTGTGGTGGTATGGGGCTCGTTGGGCTTTCAAAATGTGTAGCAATATTCTTTGCCACGACAGCAAATCAAATATAAAGAACTCCGTGTACTATTAGGGAATGGTTAGCACGCGCGCGCTGTATCATACGGTACGTCAACTGGCGGGGTTTCAATTCCGCGGATGTACGTGACAAGGAGTAGGGTCACCTGTCCAACTTCGTGGGTTCTCTCCGGGTCCTCTGGTTTCCTACCACTGCTAAAGACCCCTAAGCGCAAGCGAATTATTGAAATAAAATTGAACCATGTGTTAGTCCCGAAATGACCTGTTTGTGTCGAGTGGACGTTAAACCTCATTTCTCTCTCTCTCTCCGTGTACTATGGGTGGCACTGGTAAGCTGGTTACGGACTTCAAGTTGGCATGCGAAGCTATATTCTGGTCACATCGACCAACTCGGCATGTGTGGTACTATCCTCTTAGATTCCTTGACTTCAATGTGGATTGCAGCACGGACTTTAATATAGACTACATAATGCAGACTACATCGCAAAAAAAAGTTCACAACCGCTATGACATTACATATGCATTAAGCTGTTGTCTATAGGATCCCCTTGTCAGTGGTGCAGAACGGAGGGCCTGACAAGGACAGCTGTCTAGTCCTTCGGGTGAGACGAAAACCCGAGGTCCCGTGTATATATTGAAAAGCACGTAAAAGATCCCCTTTCAGTTAGAATTCGATATAAGAGTAGGCGATAGTGCCGCTGTCCGGGCAAAATTTCTCTCATATATAGCACACTGTATGGCGTATGCACGTCTTCATTAGCCCAGTATAGGAGCAGAACAGCGGGATGTTAAACCCCATTTCCTTTTATTTCATGTCTATAGGATCTCTAAATAATGTATTTCTCTCAACCCACTTAATCAAGTGGGCTGAATGTGGGAACTAACTGAACATTCCCTCACTGTGTCGGAATGATACCTGACAAGATCTTTCCTCCATCCCTCCACACCTAACGCGGTACTTATGACCAGACTTGTCTATATACAAGGAATGTATCTTGATGTCCTAATATGGAAACAGTGTATGTCCAGATAATATAATGATGTCCTGTTTTGTAGATTTGGGTTGTATAAATTAAAAATATACGATATCACCCTTGGTGGTAGCGGATGTTAAACACCAAAACCAAAAGCAACTTTCTGAGATGAGATGAATTGGAATTGAGAGAAGGAGAGAGAGAGAGAGAGAGAGAGAGAGAGAGAGAGAGACACTCGGCACAAATTAGGTCATTTCAGGTCTAACAATAACTTTATTTCATTAATTCGTTTTGGCGCCGGTAAAGCAGAACCAGATTATTTATAATGTATAAAAATTCACAAATCGTGTTTTAGTATGTATAGTAATAAGATAGGCTGCTTTAAATATTATTTGACACGTTACGGCAATTAAAACTTTTTCTTATCTCTTTGTTTATATAATATGGTGACCTCCACCTTTAGCCTAACATTCATATATTTTATCAGATTAAAACTGACCTTTCATCCACTCGAGTTTCCCCTCGTGTAACTTATCAAGGTACTTCATAATGTACATGTACACGCATGCACTTCGAAATTGCAGACCTTCAAGAATACTGTTGGCCCCATCGTTAGGGTACAACATGGAAAAATGGTTCGGTAATTCTCATGGGGCGGTCAGAAATGTGCATGTACGAAATGCACGTCCTTAAAAATGAGTCCCATTGCAGGCCTTCTCGCAAACTTAAAGGAGCTAATCCTCTAGCACAATGTTTTCCATAATATTTGAAATGAACAACACAAATTAGAATTCAATATTGGTCCATTTCAATCCATATTGATGTTGTTATGTTGCCGTGAAATAGGAATGAAAAAAAAAATCATAACCTAGTAATGGCTGATTCACAAATAATAAAAGAAAAACATAGGCGTAAACGACTGTCGTCAAATTGAATTGTTCCCGCATTTCACCGAACATAATTGATTAGAGACCACAATAATTTTTCTTAAAAATTGAATAAATCACTTAATATACATTCACATGGGGTTTAACGTCCACCCGACTAACACATGGTTTAATTTTATTTCAATAATTCGCTTGTATGTAGGTGACGTTAGCAGTGGGAGGAAACCGAAGGACCTGGTGAAAACCCACTAGGTTGGACAGGCGACCCTACTCCTTGTCACGTACAACCGGGGAATCGAAGCCACGCCAGATGACTCAATGACAGACCTTATGATACAGCACGCACGTGCTAACCATTCGGCCACCCAACCCCCACAACATGAACAAGTGGTGCAGTAATTCTGTTGCGATGAAATGAAATGGGGTTTAACGTCCTATGGTAATTCTGTTGCATGGGCTTGTGAGAATACAAGTGGTGAAAAATTTACAAGGGTTGGCTGTCGATTGTAGTCCTTGTCACGACTTCTGTGTGACCTTGAAAACATTACTTGTTTGTTTACGTAACATGACCTTAAATAACGGACGTGTCTAATTCTGTTATGAACAACTAAGGAACTGATTAAAACATCAAATAAATAATATTATTAGAAATTTTATGAATTTCTTGTTTATTTGTTTAAAACGTATGGTATATTCAAACTAATTCAATGTAAAATATTAAGCATGACCTATAGTATTTTGTTAACAGTTACCATAAACCATTGACCTATACTGATAGATATAATGACTCTCTGTAGATACATGTATAGCATTTATCTCACGGTATGCGTTTATCGACAGGCGAAAAAATCCCGAAGCGATGGTGTCCTAACACGTCAGAATAAAAGTTAAAATCGAATACAATCCATGGGAGCACAGCCCGGTGGAGGCCACGGCCCCGTGGTTCGTGGCAAAAAGAGAAAAAAAATCCCATTAAATTCCAGATAAAAGTTCCACTTATTTGTCATTAGGGTTAGGGTTAGATTTTATATCTCGTGACCTTGACGAAATCTGCAGGATTCGTCATGTTATGTTATGCGTGGCACGATCTTACTATAGAGCCCTATGATATGTCAGTGTCAGTGGTTTGTTTATTGCCCTTTGTATAAATGTTCGGCCTACTGGTTAAGCCATTTCTATACGATCTTTTGTTGTGATAGTGTATACGATAAGATATTTATGGTACAGAACACACTTGTCTAAGTCGTTGATTTTTTATATGGATGTATTTTTGTTTGATCCGGTATTAGTCAGCCATGCATTTCATAGTATTTTACAGCAGCGCTGATTCTAAAACTGGGGACAATTTGTATGATAATGTACAGGGTATATTGAGTTTTGCCCCGAAAGTTCAATACATCAAGGGTTATTTTATGTCAAGTAGTGTTTATTTATAGTCGATAAAACAACAGTACAACACAAGCTCTAGAGACAAGTGAGCATATTAAGACCAAAGCATATAAAAGTACAAATCCCTATATTTTATGGACCATGAAGAGCACGTCACGGTCTAAACGGGGCCACTATATGTCGTCCCATCAAACGACTAAATGCTGTTCCGAGTCAGGAACCACTGAGTACATTTACATACAATTTCATTTACCTATATTATTATATGAAAGGTCGCATCAATTATAATATTACTGTTGTATAACTATGTTATTTTTATGTTGTCAGTTATCATGGAACTCGACGCAGATCAGACACGCCATAGGCTATTCCGATAGTACACATCTATACGTTTGTACATATACATTCCACGTATCTATACAGTCACGTTCCCTATGTGTAGTTAACATGCCGCAATGTGCTATCTTACATTTATGGCACGCTCGGTTGCGGGACCATGGCAAGGACACTGGACTTACAAACAAAACTTTCCGGGATCTGCAGATGCCCGTGTGGGCCGACAGAAAATGTTATATCTTTCACTCACTGTCCTCGTGTTGATCATGACACTGACAAGAAAAGCGACTAGTGGTTCGGATAAGACAGAAAATCAAAGATCCCGTGTGTAAATTGGCAAAGGATGACCGAAATGCTGCTGTCCGGAGAGAATTTTCCCCTCCCCTTAATTTCCACACCATATAGAAATTAAAATGTGACGTGTGTTGGTCTCAAAGTGATCTAAATAGAGTGGCGATGAGACAATCACTTCCACCCATTTGCTATATATACCGCTAAATATGACCTCGGCTCGAATTCCTTTCGTGTGTGGTGTCACGTTCACTGTCTGCTATACCGGTACAGCCATCGTTGTGCTACTAAAGCTGCTTGCAGGCTGATATCTAGCTTTGAGAAGATTGACAGTTGAATATTGACGTGCAGAACAATAAAACAAACATTAAACTTACTCATTACCCAACCATTCGTGAAAGTTTATTCTCCCACTCGTCGTATCTGCGTCAAAATTCGGAAAGACATCACCCAAATTTACCATCTTGTTGACTTTACGGCGCTGGCTATAAATGTGGGGCGGTTGGTTGGAGAGTCGTGGCGATTATATCGCAAGGGGGGATAACTCCATTTAGCAAAATCTCAACTTTTAAAGTGACGGCGCTGGGAGAAATATTTTTGCATGGAGCTGCGCGGGGACCTAGTCAGTCAGGCGCTGGCTCCCTAACCTGGAGGTCCCAAGTTCGCAGTCGGTGTTGGTCATGAATGTTCCGGTGTGACTTCCCTTTGTCAGTAATGCAGCACGTAAGGCTGGGCGAGGTTCAGTGTACAATATCCTGTAAATGTGGAATTAAGTACTGTCCAAGGGAATTTAAAACCCATTTCATTGAAGTAATTCTACAAACAACATTTCATTACACAGTAGTAGGACTTATAATTAGTAACTTGTTACGAAACCAAACACTATAACATATATATATATTCCTTCCATGTATAGATATCCAGGGCCATCTTAAACTTAAAGCATGGTCACCCTGGACAGTTACCCTGCTGCCGCACGAGGATAGCGCGTTGTATCATAAGGTCTGTCATTGAGTCAAGTGGCGTGGTTTCGATTCCCCGGTTACGTGACAGGGAGTAGGCTCGCCTGTCCAACCTCGTGGGTTTTCTCCGGGTCCTCCGGTTTCCTTCCACTGCGCAAGCGAATTATTGAAATAAAATTGAACCATATGTTAGTGCCGAAATGACTTAGTTATGTTGAGTGGGGCGTAACGTCCTACTGTTCTGCTCCTGGTTGGGCTAATGAAGACGGGGGTGTATGCTATGAAATGAAATGGCGTTTAACGTCTTACTTTTCTGTCCTGGCTGAGCTGTTGAAGGTTGTGACTTGATGTTTAAAAAGGCATTATGTAATGAGATAAATATTGCTATAACAGTTTAAAAACAGACAGTACAAAATGAATATATTATTGTGGGGATTTATGAGTTAAGTCTTGACAAAATGTATCTTCGATTGTTTATTATCGTAGGAATGGTACATGGCAATCGAGACTAATTCTCGATTATCTATTTTTCGTTAAACTCTTAAATGACAGTGGTGTTCAAGTTTATCGACTATTTATATTTTTATTCCTGTGACTGGTTGTGTGGGTATGGGTCACGCCCCAGTGCACGTATGTGCTACCGTATTAACACACATCCATTTACGGATAGATCTATTTCCATGCACACCTGTAGATTTCACCATATATATAATTATATATTTATATGGTGAAATCTACATATATATATTCTAAAAGGTAATTGAATTTTATTAAAGATGGCACAATCATATTAAAGAGGTGCGCTCTCATTCTAAGCATAGCAATTTTTTCTTAATATTGTATAGGGAAGGACCGTTAATATCCTGGGTCAAAATCCGGACCATCGTGCAAAATTCTGAGCACATAATATTTGAAAAGCTCATTTAATTACCTTTCAGAATATATTTAGTTGGATGCTCAGAATTTTGTATGATGGTCCAGATTTTGACTTGGGATATTTCAAATTATTTAATAACACAACACAGTTTATATGGAAATACAATCACTGGTTTATAAGTATAGCACGACGTTTCGACAAGTATTCTCTTATCGTTATCAAGCACAAATGATATTTAGTTAAACTACAAGGTGATATTTATAGTAAAACAAAAAAGAAGCCATAGATAAATGCTGTTATAATACAGGATAATAGTTAAATTGATCAAAGGATAATTAAAACTTAAATATAGTTAATTGATGGGGGTTAACAGTGACCAGGGAGCAACAAAGCCATATATTTGATATAGACAAAATAAACACAATTTGAAGCCCTATAAGAAATTTATAATAATGTATAAATTGATCAAAGGATAATTAAAACTTAAATATTAGTTAATTGATAGGGGTTAACAATAATCAGTGGTTAACAATAGTCAGGGAGCAACAAAGCCATAAATTTGATATAGACAAAATAAACAATTTGAAGCCCTATAAGTAAGAAATGTATAATAATGGATGTATACAGTATAACCCCTTAATTTGGTAATTACAAAATATGGTTTATATAACAGGTATTATACTTCTCTAAGCTAATTAAGGGGGAGAGGGGGGGGGAGCAGTATGATTGAAGTTAGGTTTTATAATATGTAGAAATGGCCAAAAAGGAACAACAAAAGAAGAAAACAATATGATTAAAATTAGGTTATATAATAACTAGAAATGTCCAAAAGAAACAAATAGGAAAACTATGGGCCAATATACAATTATTTCTCCATCTTAATTAGTTCATCACAGGCCTTTGGTATATATAACCCTGTGTCTCTATTCAGTTCTGGGCTGTGGCAAATGGGAAATGGGAAAATGCAAATGGGAAACAACTACCAACCAACCCAAGTCAACCAAAAGGAGTAGTATATAAAGTAGACTGCTTTTGCGGCAAGGCATACATAGGTGAAACGAAAAGACCACTTGACAAACGTATATCAGAACATAAGTCTAGAGCCAAAACTAATGTATCCGCAATAGCAGAACATATAAGCAAGAACCAGGGCCACGAACCAGACTGGAAGAATGTCCAAACCTTAGCCATACATAAACACCAAAAGAAAAACAGGAAAATCATAGAAGCCATCCAAATCAAACGCCACAGCCCAGAACTGAATAGAGACACAGGGTTATATATACCAAAGGCCTATGATGAACTAATTAAGATGGGCTGTGGCGTTTGATTTAGAATATTGAAAAATTGGCAGTGTTCAGGTTGAGTGCGCGCCACTTGGATATGATTGTGCCAACCTTTACTAAAAATATTTGGAGGGCTTATTTAATTATCTTCCAGAATATATATAATTGGATGCTCAGAATTTTGTACAATGATCCGAATTTAAACTTCGAAAAAAATCGATCTATCTTTACATTTAAAATATCGAAAAATTAGCGCTCCACTTTAATACGATTGTGCCAACTTTTACTAATAATATTTGGAAAGCTTATTTAATTCCTTTCAGAATATATTTAGTTGGAATACTGAAAAATTGGCAGTGTTCAGGTTGAGAGCGCGCCCCTTTAAAAAGCTTGAGCCAACTTTTACTTATTATATTTGCAAAACCCATCTAATTACCTTTCAGACTATATTTAGTTGGATGCTCATAATTGTGTACGATGATTCGAATTTTGACTTGGAATATTAACGGTCTTTCTCTTTAAACAATCACCATGTTTAGGACGAGAGAGAGAGAGAGAGAGAGAGAAATGGGGTTTAACGTCCACTCGACACAAACTAGGTCATTTCGGGACTAACATATGGTTTAATTTTATTTACAAAATTCGCTTGCGCGTAGGGGTCTTTAGCAGTGGGATTATGACGAGAGCCGAGAGCGCGCCCATTTAATACGATTCAATTGTGCCAATTTTTAGCAAAAATATTTGGAAAGCTTATTTAGTTGCCATTGTGAATATATTTAGTTAACGGTCTTTCAATTTAAATATTGAAAAATTGGCCATGGTTAGGGCGAGAGGGCATTCCTTTAATATAATTGCATGGCAATTAACTTTTCTTGGTTTTAATTGAAAAGCTTATCTAATTACCTTTTAGACTATATACGTGTATATAGCTAGATGCTAAGAATTTTGTACGATAATGCGAAATTACACCTTAATTCTGAGCTAAAAGAATGGCGTAATATGGTGTGTACGGTATACAATATTCTACTTTTATTTTATACAATAATGTAACGTGGGATTGTATATTGGTTGATGAATCCAGGTGAGTTTGGGAGATTATTCTGAATAGGTTGCAAACGAATAGGTTGCCAGTTTAATCGGTCGAATCTGCAGCAAGACAAATAGGTTGCCAAATTGTGTTCGTTAATAATTTCCAGTCTGTTTCACGGAAGATTACGAAAGTCTTCTAATAACTCTTCAAAAGATGACTCTGCTTTCAACACGTGACGTCACATCACCCGGCGTCACAAAAGACGTTACTGGTTCGGATGGAACCTTTTACTCATTTTACATAGGCCTACCCATTTACACTAAATAGGACATATTTTATTTTTTTACCTAGGCCTACATGTATTTCAAACACCTTTATTTATTTTTCTGATGCTTAAAAAAAATGTTCAAGAATTTAATTTCCAGAAGGAAAACAGTTAATATTGGCTATTGGGGGCTCATGTCATCATTTGTAGCAGCTTGCAAATTGATCAGTGTGAATAATTTCACGGATACCAACATTAACATTAAATTAGAGAAAGTCCCATCATAATGTCGTTTTGATCTCATTTTGTACGGCATGTCACTTTAACTTATACGTCATAGGTAGCCGTTTTAATCTATGAATAACGGTGATCATGATAAATCTGCTCATCTCAGTAACGAGATTAACCGAATGATCACGGAAGTCACCGAACGCTTAAAACTAAAATGGTGAACCGGAAGTAAGCCAGGGTGAAGTGCAATCTACTATATTTGTGTCAAAAATGGTGCTAATTCTTTGCACAAAGTTGCAGTTAAAAATGAAAATAGTTTCTTAGAAAGTGATGGACCTAGGCCGACAAGAAAGTCAGGTAATATATTTTTAAAGTTTTAGTAGAACCGCGTGGAAAGCGGGCACCTGTCAGAAACCAGGTTCGATAACCCCATTATTTACTGTTATTCTGACTAACAGTAATTGGACTGTTAATTGACATTTAAGCACTCAAATCAATCTATATTTAGACAGTATTTATGCCAAAACTTTAAAAACGGATAGTTTGAAATATTTATTTTGAAGTAGATTAGTGAAATGGTGACATTTAAAATCATAGACTCTGTAGTAGCCTACTAGTACTAGGCCTAGTATAGGCTACTACCAGACGAGATACAAACCGGTTGTGTAAGAAAGAAGTCTAGAAGATGAATTGAATTAATTGATTTGACAGTCACTAGTAACATTAAAAGAGAACTTGTGTGACTCACTCATAATATTTCCCTGCCTTTAGGCTGTCTACATGAATGAAACATCAAACATAGTAGTTCAGAGGTCTAAATGTTAATAGTTTAAATACAAAACATTGAATGAATGTAGCCATAGCTACATAATTTTTTAATATTTTTCGTCCTTATTCATAAGAATTACGATCAATGATTAACAATAGTGTAGTGGCAATATTCCATCTAATATTTCGTAGTCAGTGTGCTCAATAATCTCATGATACACAAATTTTGTTGATATTTTCACACAGTTCAAATTGTTTCTAGATAATTTTGGCACAGCCCATTTCTTCTCATCCAAGCCCAGTAAAACTTAATAGTATGATTTACCCAAATCCACCATTACTTCAACTTGTATATAATTATAATTTATATCGATATTTGGTAATACATTGTTCTTTATGCCAAATAGTCATTTTTGATTTAAAATCGTAGCGTTTTTGTATCAAAGATGCTCTTCAAAATGTGATTTCCAAGGAAAACTGTAGTGGCAGTTAGTAATGTTTTAATATAAAATAACTAAGATTACATTTGGGGCTGTTTCTAACTACAAGAACGTCATTTTTATGTGACGAAAAAATTTGACCTACATGTATGCAAAATGATGCAGTGGCGTATCTTTAATCAATCCGCTCATGGTACTAAGGCTACGGTATAGTACATGCAATAAATGACTCAATGATGACAACTATGATAAGTCATTTTATGAGTAAATCAGTTCCATATAGTGAGTTATTGTACCGGTGGTATTACATGATTTCACTTATTGTAGTTATTATCAGACATTATAAGTTATTTAATTGTGTTCCAGAATTTTGTTGAATAATGATCAATGTCTTGGTCAGTGTACAGAAAAGGGTGATTTAAATTTAATACTTATATTATAGTATGGTACTATTGCAGTTATTATCAGGCATTTCATTTTATAATTACTTAAAGTAACGATGCATGATTTGTAATTTTCACTAAAAGTAAAATATCAAATTTCTCACGAATAAATCCTTGCTAAAATGTATTCAGGTTGATTTTTAACATTTGGTTCAGAAAACAAAATCAAAATACACGTACCAATGATGGATATCTTTCCGACTAGGATTCAATCGGATTTGAAACAGGTCTTATCAATTGTGTTTGGCCACAACGTTGGCTCGCTAACCTGGAGGTTCCATGTTCAATCCCAGCGTTAGCCGCGAAAGTTCATGAGGATTTTCTGGCATGGTTGCCCCCTTGGAAGTGGTGCAGTACATGGGGTCTGACGTATAGTCATTTGGATGGGACAAAAAAAAAAATGAGGTCCTGTGTACACATTGGCAAGCACATTAAAGATCCCTTGGCAGTTGAATTTCAATATAAGAGCAGGCCATAGTGCCACTGTTCGAGCAAAATTTCCCTCATAGCACACAGTATGGCGTATGCCCATCTTCATAAGCTCAGTCAAAGCAGGACAGTAGGAAGTTAAACCCCATTTCATTTCCTTGCCAGTAACCCACATTGTACATGTACTTCATGGTTAGTTGCCCATCAATAAATTACATGTAGTTAGAATGTGTAAGCTATAAATATGCAATAAAAATTTGTTATGGGCAATAAAAAAGGCTTTTGAATTTTTTCTATAATTTTTTATATTAGGTCGGTTTTGTTAGATATACATGTACATGTATTTTCTTTTGAAACAAACTATTTTTTTATGAAATCTACAATAAATATTTTTGTGGGCTATAGAGTGGTTCTAGAACTTTTTGTATACCTTTTTTAAAGTCAATTAGGAGTATCTAGAGTACTAGTTTTATTGAGATGTTTTGATTAATAAGACTATAATCTGAAAAGCTGTAATTTTATGACTGATATGTTATAGCATATTTGTGCAGGAGTGTGTTTTAATAGTAAAAATTAAGATTATTACAAGACCTGATGTCATATGGTAACTTAATTCCATACAGCAGGTGTCTGAATTTTGAAAACTAAGACTAAGAGTTCAGAAAAAAAACCAGTTCCTTTTAAATAAAATTTCAATATTAATTCTTTCTGTAATGGGTAACCGGTGTAAGTTGAGGTAATATGAAAATATTAAATTTGTAACTGGCCTATCATTTTTCAAAACATTGCAATCAAGGTTAGTCTTTTAAAAGGCTTAAGGTTAATGTGTCATTTGCATTTTCCCTAAAGAAATATCAAATTTCTCACGGCTTATGAACTTAGATTGATTATTTAACATTTAATTAAGAAACGAAATCAAAATACCATAATGCTTGATAATTTCCTGGAGACCTATTTTCTCCGCTGCCAATAAAAGATGGTGGCATCTTGTTACATTCCAGCTGCACAGATCAATTAAATTTCAGTTTATCATAACTTTGTAAATACTGAACAGAATTAAACCAATTTTGATCTGATTGATAATCACAATATTGTAGTTTGCAGGGATTCCTATAGTGCCAAGTGACGAATCTTAAAAGCTTTTAATTAATTAAAGGAATTACAAGGAGGCAAATTTAAATACATCCTATTATCTATATACTATTATCTATACAGGCGTTAACTATATACATGTATTTATATATTTTCTTGAATCTAACAGGATGAAGGAAATCGATTCTGGCGTGAAGAACGGGAAGAGGGTGCTGTCTACATGGTTTACCTTAAAAGGGTAACATACAGATCACATGATAGGGTATGTTATTTTCAAATAAGGAAATATTTTTATGACTAGCTAGAGACCGTTAGATTATGACTTTTGTGTAGTCAGATCCTGAGGCATTGTTAAAAAATAGATTTGGGTGTTACAAAATTTGTTGTAAAATAACCCTAAATATTAATTTTTGGGCAATAAATGTGTATATATTTTATTAGTATATTACACTATTATCTCTGATCCCATTTATTTTGATTTACAATCTGGGTCTCCTTGTCAATGTTGTGAGATTGAGGGCCTAACAAGTACAGTATCTAGTTGTTCGGATGGTACGACAAACTGAGGTCTTGTGTACATGTAAAAGAATACTTTACATTTGGACTTAAAAATAAGAGTAGGCTGCATCGCTGACTTCATTAGCCCATCAAACCCCATTTCATTTAATTGTTTTGCTTTAGCAGTGGAAGAAAACCGAAGGACCCATAGAAAACCCACAAGGTTAGACAGGCGACCTATTCCATGTGACATACAAGCATGGAATTGAAACCACACCACGTGACTCAATGATAGACCTTATGATCTAAAGCAAGTACACTAGACCATTCGGTCACCCGACGTCATTACATGTATATAATATGCATGACTCTATAATGGTAAATTATTGATGTTTTTGTTTATAGTTAGAAGAAGGTGAGAAGTTTATGTCACATTTGATGTGGGAGACGTTGAAGGTCCGAGTTGTTAAAGCTGGAACTTTAGAAAGACTTGTGGAATGCATGGAGACTTGTCAGGGTGATCTCGATTCATCTCATCTTAACGTCTTCCTCTCAACATATCGTACCTTCGCTTCACCTGAACAGGTTCTTAAAACACTCATTAACAGGTAACATTCTTTAATACTAGTTAGTTGTGCACTATAGTCATTGCTCTAAAAGCAGTACCGTAGTGAGCAGCTGGAACCATATTACTTGCTCTTAGTGCAGTAATAAATCATGGACGTACATTGTATATGTGTTAAACAAGCATTATGCAAGAGCTAAGTCTGCCTATTGAAGGTCTATCTTTAGGCCTGAAATGTTATTTAAATTATTAATTAGACATTAATTAACTTATCCGGAGTATAATCAACTCTCGATGCCATCAATATTTAATGGATTTGAATACATTTTGTGATGGATAATTTAGCCTACAGTATAAATGGATAATCAAGACCTTGTTTATTATCGTACCAATGTTAGTAATGACGATTGAGGCTAGTGTAACTGTCAGCTCTTTATCTAAACTTACCTAATGCCCTTTAAAATTAAGCAATTGTTTCTGAACACTTTATTACAACTGATAATTCGTTCTACAATAGACATTAAAATCTTTATCGCCAGATCATTTTCCTCTAATTCACTGAATAACAAGTGACAATCTATTCTCTAAGGGTGTGGTTTACGAGGTAGCTGAACCATACTGAAACTGATATTTTGCTCAAATCATAAATGAAATTATTATGGAAGTTTATATCATGGATTGTTTATTATTACAGGTTTATAATGCTCAAATCATGTGCTAAAGATGATGATCGGAAAGAAATGGTTGAAGAACAATTAAAGTAAGATTTGTTTGTATTATTAAAGGATATAATCGATTATAGTAATATGCAAGTACAAGCTTGCGTACTATGATAATAAAATGAAATGAATTGGGGTTTAACGTCCAACTGTTCTGCTCCGACTGGACTAATTTTGATGGGCATACGCCATATAGTGTGCTATGATGGAAATATTGACCGGACAGCGGCGCTACGGCTACTCTTATATAGAATAATTCCAACTGTTAAGGGATCTTTAATGTGCATGCCAATGTGTATACGGAACCTCGATTTTTGTCCCATTCGAATGACTAGACAGTTGTCGTTATCAGGCCCTCCGTGCGTTCTATGGACCATGACATCATCGCTGTAAGAAACAGGCATACTAAGTTTCAAGGCGTTCATACTTGAATTGTTCGAGCCTTAAGGCTTTTGTCGAAGAGCGTCCGCACCAAAAAGAAGAATACGAAGAACAAGTTACACTGGGGTCCAGTTCCTGGCCAAAAATTGACCAACAAAAAAAATTAAATGAGATGAAAATTTGAAGTATTGAAGTCCTTCACGTTTATGAAATGGTGTGGTAGCCATACAAAACTCTCAATTTCAAAAAATGATAAAAATGCTCCTGTAAAAAAATCTCTTAATTAGGCCACACAAAATAAATGTCTTGTTTCTCGGGCAACTGACAGCTGAAACTGTAGGGAGGGAGGGCGGTTTCTTTTTTTTTTTTACTCATTGATGGTGCAAAATAAAATTTGGCTATTGCTGAAAATTGTTGGGGCGGGAGGGCGGTCTTTCTTTTTTTTTTTTTTTTTTTTAAATGAGAAAGTCATTACTTGTTTACGTTTTTGCTTTCCGTTATATTCAACTTTATTGTACATACTTAAAACATAAACCCAAAATCAAGTCTACTAAAACACTGAGACAACACTGACTGAAAGGAAAATAATTTTCCATATTTAATTCACATAATTGAAATTGGTTTAAAATAAAATTCCATACGACTATGTAATAGCCCTCCATAAAGACAACAATATTTTTAAAAACTAAGCCTCTTTCACCAGGTGTATCAAAAATAATAATCATGGTAAACAGTATTTAAAACTAAATCTAGTATCGCCGGTTTATTTATAATTATTTACCGAATTCCAACCAATGCATGTCACACCGTGTCATCGGTATTGGAGATTGCCGGAAATACCGTTTCTTGGGATATTCGGTGTGTTTCTCAGGATATTCGGTGTTCTATCCGGTGTTTATATTGAATGACTATTTAAATCTAACTAACAACTGGTCTGTAAAACCATCAAATCGGTAATCCAATTATTATTTTCCGGATTATCGAAACTACCGTAAATGTGCTAATAATGACCCAGATTCTAAGGTATGCATTATGACGACTATCGTCATCGTATCGTATTCTTAGCTATAATTAATTAACCTGTTCTACGGTTCATTATTTTATCAATAGGATTCTCCAAACAAGGACCGACTGAAGCCGGCAATAATGAGCCGATTACGATCGAATGATTGAAATATTGTCGCCAATGACTTTTAACACGAATCAAATTCTAGTTTATCAGGGGAGGTAATTAATATCACGTGATACAAAATGGAGGTTCTTTCGATATCAATAAAAAAGGCAAATCTGCCAAACTTCGCCATTGTTCGGATAAAAAAGACAGCATGTTCATCTGAATCAGTTTTAATACATTTGAATAGATATACATGTATGGCGGATGTAGGTACATGCGGGATATTTTTTTTACGACTTGCTTGTCGATGTGCGGGCGGGCGTTACATATTTATTTTTTTTCATCAAGACTAATAAATAGACTGCACGCGCAACCAATTTTGCGTGCGGGCGGTGCCCGAGAAACAAGTTATTTTATTTGTGTTGCCTTATATTACAAGAGTAAGTCTACATTTTCTTGCATTTAGAAGAACCATTTTTGTCCCCATCTGCGGCTATTTGCCCACCAGTAATTCCAATTTAAAAATGTTGGATACTTGACAGTTTTGTCCATCTCCAGACAAACTGATAGCGATAATCAACTCAATGAGACAGGCGGTACATTAAAACGTAATGTTATTATTAGACATGTTATTCTATCATTCCTACAGATATTCTCCATCAACAACGGACAAAATATTAGGCTGTCAAGTAACATCGTATTCTATTGCTTGATTTAAAACCTATATACAATTATAATGAGCCTCACATTATCATTCAATAGCAGAATGAAAGCGAAGGCCAATATGTTTGGTGAATAATTGTGGTAGCCCTAGAATTACCATGGGAAAGCTCACAGCTCGAAGGAGGAGGTCACTATACTCAAACATGCAGTTTTAAAAATAAACAAAAACTGAAAGTATGATAGTTTATGAATCTCAATATTTGGGAGAGTGATTTAACTAATTTGTGGGCGTATTTAATGACTCCCCCAAAGATAAGTTGAGGTACGTTCAGACGTGAAAGAGGGAAGCACGCCGTACACATGAAGGACTGAAGTATTGTTAATTAAACACAAAGATGGCAACTACATGGCCGAAGCCTGACATGCAAATATTTTCCTTTTTTATGTAGAAGGGATGTAACTGTGTTCTGATTGTGTTCAGATATTTTGGGATCACATGGCTAAGTGGGTAAGACGCTGGCTCGCTAGCATGGAGGTCGGGTATTCGATCCCTGTATTGGCCGAGAAAGTTCATCCAGATTTTCCGGCGTGGTTCCCCCTTGTTAGTGATGCAGAACAGAGGGCCTGACAAGGATGGGACGAAAAAACGAGTTCCCGTGTACATATTGGCGTGCACGTAAAAGATCCCTTGGCAGTTGGAATTCGATATAAGAGTAGGCCATAGCGCCGCTGCCCGGGCAAAATTTCCCTCATAGCACACTGTATGGCATATGCCTGTCTTCATTAGCCCAGTTTAGGAGCAGAACAGTAGGACGTAAAACCCCAATTCATTTCATTTTATTTCATTTTGTGTTCCTATATCTGCACGTCTAAATTTGTCTGTTCTATTAATAGTGGGATTGTGTTCATAGGTCTGAACAACTGGTAAGTCATTCAACAATCACAATGATGGACCAGTCGTCTGCCTAACCTTGTTGTTTTTCTCTGGTTTCTTCCCACTGCTGAAGACCCTGACACACATACAATTGAAATAAAATTTTACCATATAGTCCCAAAATGACTTAGTTTGTGTTTAGTAGAAATTAACTCCATTTCTCTCTCTATTTCAGAACAATAAGATCAGTAATATCTGTTTGGCTTGACACTCATCCTGATGATTTCCGTGAACATCCAGATTATCCTTGTCTCCTTGATCTGGAGGATTTTGCTAAAGAACATATTGCAGACAGTGATCTAGGCGTGCGGGCACGACATCGACTTGAAAAATTTCAGAAAGAAGCAAAAACTTTGGGTAAGTAATAATGAACTTTATTGATGATGATGAAGATGATGATGATGATGATTTAAAAGTAGACAGTTAGTTATGTTAAAATAGCAGGCAGGTAGTTATAGTTATGTTATAAAGAAGACTGTAAACTTCATTGAATGGTTAAGAATAAAGTAGATCTTCTTTAAAAATTCAGTTAAAAATAAATTAAATAGATCTTCTTTAAAAATACAGTTAAAAATAAACAGATCTTCTTTAAAAGTAAAGTAATTAAGTAAAAGCCCTAATAAAACCTGCTGATTATATACATTATATTTCTATTTGGAAAATTTGTGTGCATTTGTTATTTTGTTTTTTCATTTGTAAATAAATGTGTAGATATCTTTTGTTTCAAAGAATAACTTTGCGGCCTAATTTTTGTAAAAATTTAATCTTAAATACAATGATGTATTTTATTGTAAGATGGAGTTGAATAGTTTTTATTTCCTGTATCTAGTGTTTTTTAAATTCTAGGTTTAATTTTGTATTTTAGATGAGAGTTTAAAAGAAATATCTATTTATTTTTTTATGTTGTAGAAGAGAGTATAGAAGAAATGCATTTAGGAGCTAGACATGGTATAAATGGTGATAAAAATGTTTTATTTAATCAAATATCTAATCGCTCAGTGGCAGAACAACTCACTTTTAAAGATGCTGTAAGTATAAACATATTATTAGTACCTTACGGAATAGTGAAAATAAAGTCAAATCGGGTCCATTGTCTCCAATTTTGGACTAGCTTATTTTGGAGGGTACAAATGCAGTTTTAGTTCAGTTGTCTGAATGGCGGGGTTGGGTGATCATAAGGTCTCTCATTGAGTATAATCGCATGGTTTTGATTCCTAGCTTGTACTTGAGTAGGATTAGAATTGCCTGTCCAACCTTATGAGTTTACTTCTGGTCCTTGGGTGTCCTTCCACAGCTATAGCCCCCTCTGCGATAGTCCCGTAATTACCTAGTTTGTGATGTTAAACCTGTCTGAAAATTAGAACTCATATACTAAATATGTTTCCTCAGAAAATAAAGTCATTATTATTATTATTATGCCCATCTTCATTAACCCTGGGCTAGAGATGGCCGAATCGTTAGCACGTACGTGCTGTATCATACGGTCTGTCATTGAGTCAACTGGCATGGTTTTGATTTCCCGGTTGTACGTAACAAGGAGTAGCATTGCCTGTCCAACCTCGTGGGTTTTCTCCGGGTCCTCTGGTTTCCTCAAACTGCTAAAGACTCCTTTATTAAAATAAAAAATTGAACCATATGTTGGTCCTGAAATGACCTAGTTTGTGTCGAGTGGACATTAAACCCCATCTCTCTCTCTCTCTCATTAGCCCTGCTAGTACAGAAAAGCAGGATGTTAAACCCCATGTCATTTCATTTTACTAAATAAACTTGCAAAAAATAAAATAAAAACTAGTAGAAATAATGCTGATTTCTTTTCCAGGAATTGTTCCGTAAAGTTGTTCCACATCATTGTCTGGGAGCCGTCTGGTCTCGGAGACGTAAAAAAGGTGGGAAAAATCCTTCCAGTGTTGTGGCCACGATTCAACAGTTTAATAATGTCTCACTTCGTGTAATAGCTACAGTTCTCAATACTCGTGGCATGAAGACTTCGCAAAGAGCTAAAATTCTTCAACGCTGGATTGAAATTGCTCAAGTGAGTATTGTCATCACCCTATTTGTTGTTCACAGTCGTGGCTAAAATCATCCATATACCGTTTTATACGGTTGTATATTGTCATCACCATCATCTGTCTGTCCAATGGTTACTTGTGGACACTCTTGAGGCTAAAGTTGATTTTTCTAAAATTTGTTTAATTACATACCTGTACTCTAAATATTGATAATGGTTTTAATTACACTGTGAATACAAGAATAAAAATCTGGATTAAGAAAATTGCAACACAATTTATATGGAAAACAGTCACTGGTCTGTACACATATAGCACAATGTTACGACGAATGTTCGCTTATCATTGATATGTAATTTGTCATGTCCGCTGGTTTGTCTTATCGGGGTTTTTTTGTGCGTAGTGTGGCCAGGCTTTGAAATTAATGGACGCAAAGACGCAAAAAGCATGCTAAAATAGTGTGTTAGATTTGAACTATAACGCAAAGTTTTGCATCTACGGTAATTTAGTTTAAAAAAGCAAATTTTAAAACTTGAGTTTTTCTATAGCTTAAACATGCATTATGCAAGAGCAAAATCTGCTTATTACAAGTCTTTCTTTAGGCCTGAAATATTATCTAAATTATCAATTAGACATTAATTAACTTATCCACACCATAATAAACTCTCAATGTCAAGGCTAGCCTTCGATGTAGGCTGGATTAGATTCCTATATGCCGCTAACGGCTAAAGATAATTAAATCAGAAAAAGTGGATAATCGAGACTATGCTGTTTATATTAATGATTTTAGTAATGATAACCGAGACTATGCAAAAATTTCACCGGCTTCTTTCTCGGCTCATAGTGGATCAATTTGACTGAAATTTTCAGCAAATTACCTTTACACTATCTAGTTTTTAACTATTATAGCGAGAACTGCATCTTTATCTTATCTCCCACAATGTATCTTTAATTCTGTGAAAAGGTTGAAAATGTTTACAATGAAATTAATGGACGCAAAGATGCAGAAAGTGTGCTAAAATAATGTGTTAGATTTGAACTATAACGCAAAGTTTTGCATCTACGGTGATGTGTATAGACTCACTTTCCTTTAACAAACTCTTGAGTCTCAACGAAGAGACCAGTTATAATCAGCCACACGTAACTTAACCAATGAAATAACAATACGTCACCTTCTCGACAAATAATATATGCAAAACTGAAACCATGTGATATTATTGACCAGTCATGTTATCCCTAACTGTATTGACCCAAAAAAGGCCAACAGGCCATTTCACACGGTTTATGCAGCATTTTGACGTAGTATTTTGGTGTAAACGATGATTACCGCATTTTGTAAATGCAAAAACCAATAAAATAGACATTAGTGAACAAGTGGTGGTTAGGACAAAGGTCCAGATGGTCAAGTTCTGTTCCAATACTTCCATTCGGCACCAGGCAGAAAAATGTTGTATTAATTTTAGATTGTTTGCATGATTACAACTACTGAAAGTTTTTACTTATTACACTTTATTTTTGCTTCTAATTTTAAAAGTAACAAGCAAAAAATTGCTTCTGGTAGTAGAAATAAGATTCGAACGTGGAGTGTGGCCCTCCTGCACTTACTATTATATACCTTCTAATTTACTAAGATGACAAACACTTCTCTTGAAATGCTGTAACGTGTTTTGCCATGGTTGATTGTCTGTGCTATAACTTATATTTATGGATTGTTAATTGGGATGTTGAGACAGTAAATCTGGATGTTTTATATATTGTGTTGTAGGAGTTACGTGACTTGAAGAATTTTTCGTCTTTACGAGCGATCATATCTGGCTTACAGACTCATCCTGTTTATAGATTACGGAAAACGTGGGCAGCATTACCAAAGTAAGTTACATTCATTAATTCACTGGGATCTCAGCAGTAAGTATGTATGTTAGCTCAGTGACTGGGATATTAGTAAGTATGTATGTCAGCTCAGTGACTATGGAAGAAAAGATGGAGAGAATGACATTTATGTAGTCTATCCTGTAACCATGTATCCTGCTTTTGAAATATCCAAGAAACTGTTGTATTGCTGTTCCTGAGTCACCATATAGTTAGCTGTTGGAAATATGTACACAACGATAGATTTTAAAGTGAAGTCCTAACTGAAGAGAATTATAATCAGATACAACAAGGAAAAACCTAGATGATCATCAGGCGAACAATAGATGTGTAGCAGAGAATATATCAGACGTCTGATATGGTAAACGATTTGGTGGCACTGTTTTCCATAATTGACCGTGACGGACTGACGGTATAGTGCTACAGTTGTTAGTTATGTAGAACAGAGGTTTGGCAAGGAACAGTAAGCATCTAGTCATTGGGATGGGATGAAAAAAGCATGGATTAAGGTATAGATATTAGATACACACAAAAATATGTGTACCCTTATGGTGTGTACTTTTTTATTTCAGAAATATTATGGTGCTTTTTACTGAATTATCAGAAATCTTCTCCAACGAGAATAATCAGATAACCTCCAGAGAACTGTTGATGAAGGTCAGTCACTTAAATTATTATTTTGTTTTTCTGGGAAATACTAATTATTTATCTGAGAATTATCTTCTTAGCAAAGGCACAAGTTTCATGGAATTTTTGTGACAAATTCCCATCACTAGGCATGCTGCAGAAAACGACATATTGGCCTTTTTAAATCTACCAGGTAACCTCCCATGAGGTCTCATGGTTATTTTGAGTTGCACATAAAAGAATTGTTAACTGTTGGAATTTAATAAATAGTGGGCAGAAACAGTGATATCCGTTTAAAATTCACCAGATAGCACACTGCATGGAAATGGAATGAAATGGGGTTTAACATCCTACTGTTCTGCTCCAACTGGGCTAATGAAGATGGGCATACGCTATACAGTGTGCTATATGATTGAAATTATTGCCTACTCTGATATCGAGTTCTTGTAAGGCCCCACTGTCCAGCACCACTGACAAGGTGAAGCCACATCTGAAGATTCCAATGAACTTTCATGGCCAATGCAGGGATCGTAGGTGCAACCTCCAGACTAGCGAGCCAGCGTCTTATTCACTTAGCCACCGTTGCCCGCCACACTGCATGGGCTATGCCCATCTTCATTCCATGTGCGATCACCCCCATCCATACACACCAAAAACAAAGCTAACATGACATAGGCATAATGAATGATAGATGCTGAGTTGTTTGTAGATTACTTCACTAATAAGTAAAACTTATATACCTTAACTTTTGCAAATTGTACAATATTGAAACAGTTATTTTGTTGATTTTTTTTTCAGGAAGCAACAGCTAAATTTCCTGATATCGAGTCTCAAAATAAAACTCTTCAGAGAAGAAATCTGCTGAAACGGCAATCTTGGATTGAAAATGTAAGTAGATGTATTAGACATCTAGGATTATCTAGTTTAGACATCTAGGCCTCGCTATAATAGACATCTTGGCTATAGTAGACATCTTGGCTATAGTAGACATCTTGGCTATAGTAGACATCTAGGCCCAGTGAAAATAAACATTTAGGCGTATCTATAATAGACATCCTAGAATTGGATGAAACTGTTCTTGCTTGGCTTTTTACAGCATACATTGTATTGTGCAGCAGGGTGGTGTGTCTAACAAGTGTCTAATTGTTCAGATTTGCTTTAAAAACATGGTCCATAGTTTACCAAATTTGGCAGCACATTAAAGATCCCTTGACCCTTGGCACTTGAAATCAAAATGTCCACATAACACATTTTATTGAATATATCAATCTTTATTTGCTTGGTTGGTGCATAAAAGCAAGATATTAAATGTTAAACCCCATTTCATTTCATTTGTGTAAAGTGTAATACCCCTGCGCACTAACTTACATTTCAATCCACCGTCAATCCATCTTGTCTCCTCTTAATAAGCACTGTAATATATTAAAGATTGTTATTTCGGCAGCCGCCACAGTGGTTCAGTGAGTAAGATATTGGCTCACTAAGCTGGAGGTCCCGTGCTCGATCCCAGTGTTGGCCCGAGAAAGTTTATCAGCATTTCGAGCTTGGTTTACCCTTGTCAGTGGTGCAGGACAGAGGGCCTGGCAGTGGACAACATATAGTCATTTGGATGGGATAGAAAACCGGGGTCCCGTGTACACATTGACATGCACGTAAAAGATCCTTGATAGTTTTGATAGTTAGAATTCTATATAAGAGTAGGCCATAGTGCCGCTGGCCGGGCAAAATTTCCCTCATAGCATACTGTATGGCGTATGTCTGTCTTAATTAGCCCAATCGGAACAGAACAGCAAGATTTTGTTTCTTTTCTTTCGGTAACTTTTGATTGATTTGTGTTTTTGGTTCATTTTGAATATCAGTGCTGATTCTTATTTTCCAGGGTATAGTTCAAGGAACAGTTCCATATTTAGGAACATTTTTAACAGATCTCACAATGATTGATACAGCTTTCGCGGATATAACGGACGACAATCTTATCAACTTTGAAAAACATCGAAAAGAATTTGAAGTCATTGCTCAGTTGAAACTGCTCCAATCAGCAGCTCAAATTTATCAAATAGTTAAAGATGAAAATTTCTGGACGTGGTTTTATTCTGTTAATGTATATACTGATACTGAAAGGTGAGTTGATTCTGAAAATATGATATTGAAAGGAGAGTTATAGATACTGAAAAGAGAGTTAATTCTGATAATGACAGGTGAATTAATTCTGATATTGAAAGGTGATTTTTGATAATGAAAGGTATGTCTAATACTTAAAGCAGAGTTAATTCTGATACTGACAGGTGAGTTAATTCTGATAATGAAAAGTGAGTTAATCCCGATACTAAAAGCATGGGTTGATAACGATGAGTTAGCTCTGAAACGTTATGTTGATAATAATACTGAAGTTGGTAATAATCTTGATTCTTATTGAGAAAAGGTGCTTACAAAACATTGAGTTACCATGATCAATGTTTTAATGTAATACTGAACCATTTATCAAATGCAACCTCTAGTTGATTTCTGGTGGAATGATAATAGGGTCAATATGGTGGCTTGCAATAATCTATTGTTCTTAGGATTAACATTTTATAAAAGTGGGCCCTTGAATTTTCTTGTCAAGAAATCATAGAAAATAGACCCAGTAAATCCAAGAAAGGAACTGACTGAAATATCAGTTCGTTCAAATTATTTATGAGACAAGTTTAGGCAAGAAGATTTTAAAGATTTTATTATATATTTCCAGCCATGACCTGTCGTGTACAATAGAACCCCCTTCAGATAGTAACGCCAAGATCAAGAAAAAATCAGCAAGGTAAATAGATGTTGTTTTATTATATACACGTCTAGGTGTGTTTGTATACATGTGTATGTATATTCGCATGTAAGCCTTAACGTTAGATCAAGGCATCACAGGTTTTTATTAGCTCTCGGAGACATTCTTCATGAAATATTTTACTACTGCAACCTTTTGATTGGCTAATAGTTTAAATCCTAGTACATAGTTTAACTCTAAGCCAATGAGAAGTCAGAATTGTTAAGTGTTTTAGTTTTGGTGAATGAGTCCCCAGGATCCGGTAGCGAGAATCTTTAACTAAAATTAAGTCTACTTGAGTAAAGTTCATATTTTATGTGAAATAGATTTTGTAAATCTCAAAATGTCATAACATCCTGATACCACTTGTTGCAATTAGTGTTGTACTTAATAAAATAATCATAATGGTAAAAATAAGAGTTAGAATATTGTGGTATATTTTGTGTATGTGTGTATACCTACAGAAGTTTGCCAGTATTCAGATCGCGAGCTGGTTCCGTTCCTAATCGATATCCTGTCTTCTCTACGTGGTAAGATGACAATCTTAGATTTTATATCATTCATGTAACAACAACTCACACTAAAATGTGGTCGCATAATATCATTTGTTTTCATGCTCATGCAGTATAAAAATAATAAAACATATCATTTCAACTATGCTCGTGCAGTATCAAAAAATCAACAGCATATCATTTCATTATATCTATGCTCATGAGGTATAAAACATTTTATTGTAACTATGCTCATGCATTATCATTTAATTTCCATTGTAACTGCTGGTGCAGTATCAAAAAATAGATAGCATAATGCAATTTCATTGGAATTATGCTCACATAGTATCAAAAATGACAGTATATTATTTCATTGTAACTATGCTCATGCAGTATCTAAAAATAAAACATGTCATTTTGTTACGACTATTCTCATGCAGTATCTAAAAATAAAGCATAATATCATTTTTTATAACTATTTTCATGCAGTATCAAAAAATAAAATGTAATATCATTTTGTTATGCCTATTCTCATGGAGTATCTAAAACAAACAACCCATAATATCATTTTGTTATGACTATGCTCATGCAGTATCAAAATATAAAACAACATAATATCATATTGTTATGACTATGCTTGTGTAATTTCTAAAAATAAAACATAATATCATTTTGTTATGACTATGCTCCTGCAGTTTCTAAAAAAAAAAGAATAATATCATTTTAACTATGCTTGTGCAGTATTTCATAATCATTATGCAGTAATCATTCATTATGTTTTAGTTGTGCTCATACAGTATTAAAAATGGCAGCTGTGTATGTATTGTATCATTTCATTACATTGTAACTATGCTCATGTAGTATTAAAAATGGCAGCTTTGTAGTGTGATATATCAATTTATTACATTGCAACTATGCTCAGGCAGTTTCATTTGTTATGAAGGCTTTAAAAATGGCAGCAATGTATGTAATCCAAAATATCATTTATTACATAGTAACTATGCTCAAGCAGTTTCATTTGTTATGTAGGCTTACCAGTATATAAATAATTGCTTAGTGCTTTATGATAATTTAAAGTAATGTTTAACCCATTAGGTACCAGATCACCTCTTGCATTAATTATGCTTTAAGTTACTAAATAAATAGTCCATGAATATGTTGAGGTGTAAAACAATACACTGTAACCTGGGTACCTAGCACTAATTTCTTTCAAGTTCATTTAATATCAAATCTTTGTTTAAAATTTCGTCAAAATCATTTAAAATCACCCAATATCATCTAATTTGTACTTGTGTCTAGTTTAAAGCTGACTGATTAATTTTCATAATGAGTGTCCAATTTACAAGTATTTAATTTCCTGACCACTGTTCAAAAATTAATCATTATACGTCAATAATCAATTGGGTTGTTTATTTTTTAACAGTTATCGAGAAATTAAACACCTGTAAATTGGACACTCATTATCAAAATTGAATGGTCAGCTTTAAACTGGACACAAGTAGAAATTAGTTGATTTTTGGTGACTTTTAAACAAAGATTTGATATCAAACGAATGTGAAAGAAGTTTTTACAAATTTTTAAACAAAGATTTGATATTAAGCGAATGTGAAAGAAATTACGGCTAGATACACAAGATTAAATGATGCCCAGGTTACAGTGGTAGTAAAGCTACAATACAACTCGGGTATCGTGTAATTGGGCTGTTTTAGTGGGAGTTTCTGTATTTAATGTTTACTCTCAAACCATTGTTGTCAAATTGCTAATATCCTTTGAGAATCAACGACAAATATTGAGTCCTATTGTCATGTAGTTTAAAATGGTCCGTCTACAGTATGCTTCAAGTGGAAGTATGAAATTAGTCCTTGTGGGGTTTTTTTTCCTGCTCAAAAATTGCAGAGTTTTTCCCATATACACTCTGCAGAAATAGAGACATTCTGAGAGGAAAGAAAGTCCACAGAAATTTAGTACTTAACCTTGACTTGTACTGTAGATTAGATGATGAGTTTCAGGTTTACAATTGTTTACTTTCTTGAGTAGTTTTGAGTAATTGACAGACTAATTAATAATTAATCACTCGTGAAAGTAAACATTAAATACAGAAACTCCTGATAATTTGATATCATTTTCAAGTTTTGAGTCAGGTACCTAAAGGGTTAATATCAAATCTGTCTATTTGTCAAGTTGATTGGGATTGTTGTGGTTCAGATGGTTTGTGGATGTAATATTTTAACATTGGTGGTATTTGAAGAGTGGCTGGATTTCCGACTCTGGCATTTATTTGTTTACGTCCCAGCAACAACGAATGTTGGTGTGACGAACATCACAAGGTGTCTACAATACAAGTGTTAAATTCTCTTCCAGCAACAACGGTCGCTGGAATCAGTTTAGAGGCCGCAAAATTTATAGGAACTGGGGGGTTAAAGGGTTAATGTAGACAAATTATCCCTCCCACTATCAGCTAGCAAATATCATCTACATGTAACCTAACCAGACATAGAGATAAGGAGCATAACCCTAAATTAAACGATATTCCTTTTAAACATTTTAACTTTTACAATACTGTATAATTTACAAGAGATTAGAAATCCCTCAAATTACGATCATCAGCTTTAAGGATTGTAAAAATATTATTAATGTAGACAGAAAAATATCCTCCACACTAATTGCTAACAAATCACAACAACCTGTTTAATTATGGTGAGAAAAGAGGCATTCGATAGTCATGCTCATGCTGTGGCAAATGGCGCTTGATATAATACATGTATTGTTGATATATGTGTGTACTAACAAAGATGTGAGTTGTGGTTTACAAGTATGATATAATAACATAGCTTTTTATATCAATTTTCAAATTATGATAGATTATAATAGATTACATGTGATAATTAGTCTCCAGTAGATACAGAAATTTTGGTTTATACAAAACCGTGTTATGTTCTTTTTAAAGTAGTGTTGTTTTATTAGATTAGGTAGGTTTTCAATTTTAAACTGTCGTCATTGAATTATTTTTTAATTGTCTTGCACCCCCACCCCTTTCATACACAGCACACCTTTTCTTTAAATCTTACAGTATATCTTCTCTGGACACATAGATACCGAAAAAATCTTTCTTTCCCACGGTTTAACGAGTCTTTACCTGGAGACTTTACCTGGACAAGAAAATTATCCGATTTTTCCAACGTGGTTTCCCCTTGTCATTGGTGCAGGACACAGATCAGGATGGTACGAAAAAGAGAGTTCCCATAATTATACACATTGGCATGGTCGTAAAAGAATCCTTGACCGTTTGAATTCAGTATAAAAGTAGACAGTAGCACCACTCTCCAGACAAAGTTTCCCCTCATAGCACACACAATATGGTTTATGCCCACCTTCATTAGCCCAGTCGGAGCAGAACAGTAGGAAGTTAAAACCCCATTCCATTTCATTTCATATAACTTGTAAATAATCTATGTAACATAGTGTTTTGTTAAGCTTAGTATTTGCTGTTGTTGTTGTTCTTAGTGTTTAACATCAGCTTCCACCGAAGGTGATATAGCAGACAAGTTATCTTTTTTTTATTTTCATTATCTGAGCGCACACGCAGGGGTCTTTCCTGTGGGAGGAAACCGGAGTACCGGGACTAAACCCACGAGGTAGAGAAGGCGCCCCTATCTCCATGTCACATACGCTCACACCAGGGGTCGAAACCACAACCGCAAGCCAGAGGTTACCGGCCAGCTAGATGTTGAAGCGTGACACTCTAGACCACTAGGCCATCACAACTCCCCCATATAGTATTTGTAAACCTTTGTAGTTTATACATATCCCAGATTTTTATTTTCATTATCTTAGCGCACATGCAGGGGTCTTTCCTGTGGGAGGAAACCGGAGTACCGGGAGTAAACCCACGAGGTAGAGAAGGCGCCCCTATCTCCATGCCACATACGCTCACACCAGGTATTGAAACCACAACCGCAAGCGTGACACTCTAGACCACTAGGCTATCCCAACCCCCCATATAGTAGTTGTAAACCTGTGTAGTTTATACATATCCCAGATTTGTGTTTATAAACATTAGATAAAGATTATTAAGTCTTAATTAGATGTTAATTATTTTGATGGAGCACAGCAGAATTCTGATAGTCATTACCCTAAGACCAGGGCTTTCATTTCAATTTGTTGCATTTCATTTCATTTCAAACTTTTGTTAGGTTTTGATATAATTTGTTTACCTCATATTAGCGAGAAATTTATAAAAAATATGACAGTTATACCAATTTATTATATATATTTTTACACACAAAAGCTATGAATGGAACTAACTTTATTTGATGTGTTTTGACGGACAGGTAAGTTGTCCAGTTGGTCAATTTCAGTCAAAACTGACTGAGACGAGACCTGTGCCCAAAACTCAGACAGTAGGTTGTATTTGGATGGCATGTGTCTTGTCACAGGCAAGGGAAACCATCCTACCACACCAGATAATGATGATAGATGGCTGATGTCGGTCACTGGCAAGAGAAACCTTCTTACCATTCCAGATGATAATGAGTAGGTTGTATTTTGATGGCTGATGTCCGTGAATGACAAGGGAAACCATCTTACCACACCAGATAATAATGGTAAATGACTCATGTCTGTCACTGGCAAGGGAAACCACCATACAACGCCAGATAATAATGGTAGATGACTCATGGCTGTCACTGCAAGCGCAACCATCCTACAGTGCCAGATAATAATGGTAAATGGCTCATGTCCATTAATAGCAATAGAAACCATCTTACAACGCCAGATAATGTTTGTTTTGTTTTTATAGTTTGGGTCATCGCCCGGTGAAGTTTGATAGTGCTAAGTTTGCTCTGTTTTCCTGTGGATTAGAGAACAGAAAGAGTATGTCGAGTATACCCGATACTTTATCAACTTTAGCAGCTCCTATTGTAAGTATTACATTTCTTCCCATATTGTCTTTGTAAAACTATGCTTTTAGGCATTTCCTGTTGTTAATTGGACCATTGGGGATTTAAATTCCTTTCTACTCCGAGCGATTTCGTAAACCAGTAGTTCTCAAATATTTTTAAGTCAGGGCACACTTGAAATCCTACAAATAATTGTAGGCGCACTATATACAAATTTCCGATAAGTATGTTATATTTAAATCAAATATTGTACAAAAGAAATAGTGCATCTAAAATAGAATTAAACATACCTTAAGTTACACGAATGCAACATGTACATAGTCTAGTATGGCATAACTACCCTAATGCTTTAATGGGGGACTGGGCCAAATAATCTAGTAGGGCATAACTACTTTCATGCATTAATGGAGGGTGAGGCCAAATAGTCTAGTAGGCATAACTACTGTTTTATGCATTATTGGAGGGTTGGGCCAAATTGTCTGGCAGGGCATAACTACTTTAATTCATGCATTGATAGAGATTGTGGTCAAATAGTCCAGTAGGGCATGACTACTGTTTTATGCATTAATGGGCGGTAGAGCCAAATAGTCTAGTATGGCATAACTACTTTCATGCATGAATGGACTAGTCGGGCCAAAGCCAAATAGCCAAATAGTCTAATATAGACATAACTACCCACTGATACATTAATGGAGGTCCATCCATATAGTTCTAACTACCTTATACATTATAGGAGGGCGGAATAGTTTAATAGTGAACCACTCTATTATTCATCTATTATTGAAGCTAGTGTAGGATATTAAATTATCTGAGTTCTATTTACTGATTTATTTCTATTTCAGATGACCCACCATTCTTCCACATCGTCTGTAGTCTCTTCCGATAGTGATAACCCATCTTCCCCGTTCAGGTCATCAGATACCTACGTTATCCGTGTCAGCGTTAACTCTACGTCAGATTCAGATACACACGTCTATAAAAGTATTATGGTATGTAGAAAATAAAACATGTTACTATTAGAAACCATTCTGTGTAATTCTGGAGCCTTGGTGGCTCAGTATGTAGGGAACTAGCTCCACTAACCAGGCAGCCGTGGGTTCGATCCTAGTATTGACTGAGAAAGTTCTGTACAATAGGCAAGAAACAGCATCATTTGTTTGGATTGAACAAAAAACAGTTCATATTCAAAATAAGATTTAGCCATATGTGACATGCTCTCGCTAAAGAATCCTTGTGGATCAAAGAATAAAAATTGAGTTGTTGATATATTCGAATTCTACATTTAATTCTAAAGATTTATTGTGAAAGTCCTGGTAGTTTGCTCGATATGGTTTTAGCATATATGTTGATGCATACGGCTGATTAATTGCTACTTTTTACCTAATTTTGTTATGATTTTTGTCCCCCGCCTTTTGAAGAATACAGGGGACTATTAAAATGGGTCTGTCTGTCTGTCTGTCCATCATACTTTTTGGGACACAATAACTCTGCTTCTAATTGAGCTAGAATTTTAAAACTTGGTGTAGGTGTTTATTTGGTGAATGCCTTAATGGAGTTCGAAGATGAGCATTTTCTGCTTAGGTTAAGCAGAGATAAGTAATTTGATTGGTTGATGGTTTGGGACATGATAACTTTAGTTCTAATTAAGTGAGAGTGATGAAACTTGGTGTATAGTTTCGTTACATCAATACCTTGACTAATGAGCAATTTCTGTTTGAGCTAAGTGTCGATAAACAATTTGATTGGTCAAGACTTTGGAACATAACAACTCTGCTTTTATTTGAGGTCGAATGTTTAAACTTGATGTAGATGTTCATTAGGTGAATGTCTTGACAGAGTTCAATGATTAACATTTCCCACTAAAGCTAAACAGAGTAAGCAATTTCATTGGTCGATGCTTTGGGACAAGATAACTTTGATTCTGAAGGAGAGTGATGAAACTAATAGCCCGTTCAGACGCTTAAGTTGAACTGGTTTAAAACCCCGGGGATCGTTAAACCAGTTTAACTTAAGCGTCTGAACGCAAATGTGGGGCAAATAAACCAGTTTAAAAAACCCTGCTCACAACCTGTCTTCGAGAAGGCTTTTTATTTTAAACTGGTTCATCTTAGCCGTCTGAACGGGTTGGCTTAAAAACCCCAGCTCCAGCTTGCTTCAAGCATGCGCAGTACGCAGTTAGTTACATTCCTGTGAAAATATTGGGGTCAGACAGTGCCAATGTTATCGAAAGCGTGCAAGAACCGAATAAAGAATATGAAGCTACCCATGCGCAGTTAACTCTAACCTCCGACCGAAGAGGTCAGAATAGTTAAACTGGTTTGGCTTATAGTACGTGTGAACGCAACACGATGCTGTCTTAAAAACCCCATCGATTATGAACTGGTTTAAAAATAAGCGTCTGAACGGGCTATAAGTGTATGGTTCCACTGCCAGGTACTTCAAAACCTTTGCTGAGTTTGATCGTGAACATTTTGTACTTACATTAAGTATAGATGATCAGTTTGATTGCTTGATACTTTTGAAAAAGATAATTCATAAATATTTGTCATCTATTTCTTTTGGGATTTTGGCGGGGAACATCAACCTCTCTGTTGGCATGTTATTTTGAACTTTTGGGGCATGATCCTGGAGACATTAAGTAATGTACATGTACTTTCACAGGAGTCTCAAATTCACATTACTGAAACATGATGTCATGCGACATGCAGATCCTTTAGCCAGAGTCGGTCACATATCCCATTCCATTTGATTCCTTAGAGGTTAAAAAAAAAAAAAAATTCTAGATGATCGGTTAATGAAATTCTAGATGATCAGTTAATGAAATTCTAGATGATAGTTAAATAAATTCTAGATGATCAATCAATAAAATCTTTGATGATCAGTAAATAAAATTCTAGATGATCAATGAATAAATTTTAAGATGATAAATGAATAAAATTATGGATCATAAATTGATAGTGGGTCACATATTCCATTCCATTTGATTCCTTAGAGATTAAAAAAGAATAAAATTCTAGATGATCATTTAATAAAATTCATGATCAATATATAAAATTCTAGACGATTAATGAATAAAATTCTAGACGATTAATGAATAAAATTCTAGACGATTAATGAATACACTTCTAACCGACCAATGAATATAGTTCTAAATGATCATTTTATATGATAAATGAACGAAATTCTGGATGATCAATTGATAATGAATGTATATTTTATAGTTAACTAACACTGATCACACCCATACAGTTATTAGTATGGTTGTATAGATAATGAATGTTGTATATTTTATAGTTAACCAATACTGATCACACCCATACAGTTATTAGTAAAGTATTAGAGAAATATTGTATGGAAGGAAAACCTGAAGATTATAGATTATTACAGATACTAGAAGATGGTGGTAAGCTTCATACTTTCATGGGGGCTTGATGAGGACCGAGTGGTCTAAATAATCTTGTGGGTTTTCTATGTGTCCTCTGGTTTCCTCCCATTAGTAAAGATTATACCCTATGTTATTCCCAAAATGACCTAATTTTGGCTGTGGATATTTTAACTCTCTCTCTCTCTCTCTCTTTTTAAACTTTTAGTCTAGTAATCCTAGAAATATAGTACCTGTCATGGACATTGTCAGACACAAATTCATGCTTTATGGGACACGATTCCGCTAGTGCCTGTCATTATGTTCGACACAGATTTGATATCTGACACAAAGTTGAGTAGTACCTGACAACCATTATTTCGAGGCCTCTAGTCTTACTAAAATCTGGTGCTCTAATTTCCTCGATCATCAGATTTGTCTGTTTTTATACCCCAGCAATCAGGACTTGAACTAGGTGGCGACATGGGCGAATTACTCGTCCAACTACCGCTGATTTTGCCCCCTCCAAAGACTCTAGGGTGAAGTTGAGGTCGCCTTCATGTCGCTGTATATTTATTAAAGGGCGAAGTTGTTCTAGAGACATAGAATATCGCTAAACCTGCCATTCATAAACAAAAATGTCACGCTCGAATGAAAATGTGTAATGTGGTTGTTTACCCGTCTTTAAATATTTAATTATTATATGTTGCACTGTCTTCCTGGAATTACTGCCATGGTTGTTCCGGTCGCTCCCATATACTAGAAATTTATGACCTGATTAATTGTTGACAATGAGTTGAGACCCATTCCATTCCAAAGATTTATAGCTGATTGTGCCACTTTGTTTTTTTTCCCCAGAATTATTATGACTTAAAAATAACTATAGGTTAGTATCAAAATGATCCATTCTCTGGATTTTCTTTTTTTTCCAGAATTATTAATACCAGAACGTGCCAACGTCTTCTACGCATTAAATAATTCCTCAGAATTAAACTTTGTGATCAAAAGTCGGGAAGACTACGAAACCTCCACTTTAAAAAGACAGAAAAAACGACGATTTAAAAAGCTCAGCTTATAGCAGTGACTGTAACCACTAGCAACGGTAGTATCTCGGGTAGTTTAACACATACGCACCAAGGTCAAATAGTCATGGTCAAGGTCATTATTCGGGTCTTAAAATCGTTAAGTATTTATGATGTATTGTTGATAATATTTTAATATTTTTAGTATGTTTCTTGTTGATGTAGAATATTCACTATATGTATTATTGTCTCCACCACATCGATTACAAAATGCAATTCTACTGGTAATTATTTAAGAAGCAATCTAGTAGTGCTGGCACAATATATCATTGAATCAATGTATTGCAATTCAGTACAATTTATTTTGATGGTGTTTTTTTGTCATTGAGTCATTGAGTACGAGTAAGCGAATTATTGAAATAAAATTGAACCATATGTTAGTCCCGAAATGACCTAGTTTGTGTCGAGTGGACGTTAAACCCAATCTCGCCTTCTCATGACGGCAGTGGCAATACCCTGCTCTAGAATCCAGCAATCTTTATTTATTTATCAAAACCCGTGTGAGTATAGGTTTGATCCTGTTGACACAAGGAAACTAGGCTGGAAAAACCTGGGTACCATTTCATATATAAATATAATTTGTAGCGTAAATATAGTCTGGATATGTGAAAAGGGAATTCCAGGTGGCATTATCTGTCCTTCGCACGCGATACATGTAAATACGGTGCCATGCACAGGTGTGATTTGTGTTTTGATATTCAATTTATTACGGATATTTTAAAATCTGAATTCTACAACTCAACGGTGAAGTATTCGATTTTGTACGGAAGTGTGGTACCATGATACTTTGCGGAATTCACGTGGATACGGATGATAGAATTGTACGAATCTTCGAGTCGCTGAGCCAAAGCAGATTCGCCGACTTTAGAGAACTTTTAGGCATTCCGATGTCGAAGAAATAAAAAGGTTTCATATTACGATATTTATATAGAGCAATGTAGCCTACGTCAAAGACCTAACCACGTGTGTGTGTACCTACATGTATGGATATGTGTGATGTGATTAGTCTTTGAGTTTGATAATTGAGAGTGACAGGTTATTTACTGAAGCGACAGGTATGAAGAAAAGCTACCTGTCGATTGCAACAGGTAGCTTTTTTAAACATTTCAAGGCCTGTTAAATGATACCTGGGTTACAGTGTTTCTTGGCCGACATTGGGATCAAACCTAGAGCCTTACTCACTCAGCCACTGTGGCACCTATCATAGTACCGAATATGAAATCTGGAAATAAGGCACAGTCTTTGCCAGGCACAAGTCCTCCAGTGCCTATTTAAGTCTGTCTGGTACAGATTTGTCTTTGATTCTGTGTTTTGATAGATTTTTATAATTAAGTCCAGAACAAAATTGAATATGTGAGGTACTAGTTCATCAGGTACAACTAGAGTCATTATTTCCAGGCCTGTATAAGAGTCTTATAAATAGACGTGTAGGTTTATAGTTTACAAACCAGGAGCCTTATTTACGGCAAAGTTAAAACTAATTAAATCAAAAAAATTTATTAATTCATATATATATATACTAGCAGGATACCCGGCTTCGCTCGGGGGTCATAACTCCGAAACCGGAAGTGGTAGACTAACGCCACCTGGCCTATGTTACTCCCCGGTCCAAGCTACCCATATACCCCAAATTTCAGACCCGGGGCAGGATACCCGGCTTCGCTTGGGGGTCATAACTTCGAAACCGGAAGTGGTAGACTAACACCACCTGGCCTATGTTACTCCCCGGTCCAAGCTACCCCTATACCCCAAATTTCAGACTCGGGGCAGACCTAGTGTAGCCGCCAACCCCGAACAGACTGGCTTCGCTCGGGGGTCATAACTCTGAAACCGGAAGTGGTAGACTAACGCCACCTGGCCTATGTTACTCCCCGGTCCGAGCTACCCCTATACCCCAAATTTCAGACTCGGGGCAGACCTAGTGTAGCCGCCAACCCCGAACAGACAGACAGACAGACAAACAGAACGACAAACGACAGTCACAAATATTAGTATAGATATACACCTCTCATTGGCCAAGAGATAAACTATGATTTTAACACTCAACCAATAAAGAGACTGCCCTTTTACATGTTTTAGTTTAAGTTTCTGTATATTAGACCCCAGAACCAGCGGAGTGTTGGGATGGTCTAGCACGTTGAGCTGCTGCGGGCAGATCACCTCTGACTTGCGGTCGGGGTTTCGATCCCTTGTATGAGTGTATGTGCCTTCTCAACCTCAGGAAAGACCCCAGTGCTAAGATGATAAAAATAAGACAACTTGTCTGCGATATCACCCTTAATGGAAGCTGATGATAAATGCCACAAACAACAACAACCCCAGATTGTATTTTATAATGGATGTGTTGAAGACAGGAGATTATAATGTTTATTAGTGAAAATCATGTCTTTCTGTTTTTGTTTTTGTTATATACATGTAGTATAAATTATTCAATGAAGGCAAAAATTATCAAATAATATTTGTTTTCATGGCTCAACCTAATCAATGATTTTTTTTTATATCATATTTATTGATTTTAAATGTAGTTTGATTCATTGCATTTAAAACTATAATCCAGGGGTGACCAGCTTGTAGAACATTAGGCCATTCCAAGTGATACACATTGGACCAGTCCAAGTGTTACACATTCGGCCAGTCAAAGTGTTGCACATTGGACCAGTCGAAGTGATACACATTGGGTCATTCCAAGTGATACACATTGGGCCATTCCAAGTGATACACATTGGACCATTCCAAGTGATACACATTGGACCATTCCAAGTGATACACATTGGACCATTCCAAGTGATACACATTGGACCATTCCAAGTGATACACATTGGGTCATGCCAAGTGATACACATTGGGCCATGCCAAGTGATACACATTGGAACCGTCCAAGTGATATACATTGGAATGGTCCAAGTGATATACACTGAAACAGTCAGTGACACATTGGGCTATTCCAAGTGATACACATTGGAACGGTCCAAGTGATACACATTGGAACGGTCCAACTGATACACATTGGGCTGTTCCAAGTGATACATATTGGACCAGTCCAGGTGATTCACATTGCCCTTGGTAATAATGATCAGACATCGAAAAAGATCACTGTGACTTTCCCTACTTGTTTGTAATTTTCGCTGGATCTATTACTGAGCAAAGTGTTATCAAAAATATCAACAGCTTTGCAAAACCAAAACAGAATCAAAAGTCTCATTATGGTAAATAATATTTTATCTCTGAAGTCGTACAGATAATATTTGGCACATGGAATGTAAATAAGTTGGCCACCCCTATCCTTGTGTATTTGTAGAAAAAACAATTAGTGTGCTTGGTGTAGAATATATTGTTACATAGTAACAAGTGATATACATGGGGCAGGGTATGCTTATATATTCTTGAACACCTAATGCCAACGTCCCATTTTTGGGATGTTTGCAAAGACATCATGTTTATGTTATAAGGAAAAGGACACTTTTTAACCCTTTTGCTATTGGTCACCATGGTCACCACCAGCTTACTGTGCTCTTTTCTATTCTAATAATAGAATAAGAGCTGATCACCGGGTCCCCATGGAAGTTCATGTATATTGTGTGGTGACTCGGTGAACAGGGCCCCATGTAATAATGAAAAGGTTAAAAAGACAAATGGCTGATAATCGTAAGTGAGGCCTATTTAATTTAATTTTTAGTTCTTCAGGACCTTCATCAATAAATAACGGGACAAGGAGTAGGGTTGCCTGTAAATTAATGATGCATTATGTCAGATTTAGATAAATAGCTGACAGTTCTTGTGATAATAGTTCCAAAATAGATAATTCAAAATTATTATATTGAAAATTTGATTCAAATTACTTTATTTTGAGGGACATTATCACTGTTTGACGTTTTGATATATATTGTTTATTATCGTAGCAATGTTATTTGTTAATCGAGAATCAGCCTCACTTCTCCATTTCTAAATCAAATTATTAAAGGGCTAATCCCGATAATATTTTTGAGAATAAAACTGCTTAATTTTGTGTTAAAATCCCTTAAAATCCTCTACCTTAGGGCCGAGCAACTAACTCAATATATTTGATACGTTTTCAAACAACTTAAACCCTTCAGTCTTAATCTGGAAGTAGAGACCGGTGCCCAAGGCTGTATTATGCGGTGTCTGGATAAAACCAGACTTTTATTTTATAAAAATAATGTGTACGTGAAATTTATCTTTCGTTATCAAGTACAACACATGGGTCATTCACTGTATAAACCTCTAAAGGAACTGGAATCGATTATCAGGTCACTCAAAGAAAGAATTCACCCAAAATCTTAAAAGGGTTACGTCTCCGGATAAGCAGTTTTGACGTTCACGTCCAAATGACTCAATATTTTGAGCTGAAATTTTGCGACAGGGTAAATACACCATTCCTTTATATGTTGGCGCTTAAATTTCATACATACTCGGACTTTTAATTTTGAGGCTCTGTTCAATCCGGGATAGTCCCTTTAAATGGTGATAGTGATTTCATCTGTTTACATCTGCACCATCCGATGGTCAAGAGCGTTGATTATAGGCTTGTCTTGTTAATAAATGCCTAAATAATTTATATAACATTATAGGCTTGTCTTGTTAATAAATGCCTAAATAATTTATATAAGATATGAAATAAGCAGATTTAACTCTTGCATAATGCAACTTTAATTTTTTTTTATCAAGAAATAGGAAGCAATATTTCAATAGGTGTTCCCGAAGAACAGAAATATAAGTTGGTCTTGCCTGAAGTATATGTTATTAATGTTTTGTGTAAATACTAATTTATTACTAATGTGTTTTAAATATATATTTACATGTATTTAATTTATTAATTTATTTTGTATATATTAATTATATATAAATAAGTATGTATGTATTTTTTAATATATATAGAGTTAGAATATTTTATTTTTTACTTTTAAAAACAAAATTGAAAAATTTATTGTGGTGCTTCTTATGAAAATTGTACATGTTTTGCATTAGTTTGAAATGGTTCTATTGTCTCAGCCTCATGGAGTACAAATCAAAAGATTTAGTGCGTTCTTGAATTATAAATCAACCGATCTTTGTTTTATTTAAATGATAAATGTTTTTATAGACCCATTCTCGTTGCACCCAATAAATGTGATTTGGGTTTCTGCTACTAATCATATTAACATAAAGTGCAATTGTATGGATATAAAATTAATGGATTTATTACTATGCAGTGTTTGGAAGATGATACTCGCATCTTTATCAAGCAAATGATAAAACAAAACATTGCTTAGTAAATAAATCCAGTAATTGTATATGCATAAAATTGTACTTTGTGTTAATATGTTCAATTACTAAATGCTGATCAAAGAAGTTATACTTCCTATTTGTATTGTATTTAGCTGCTTTACCAAGAGATAACTTTTAGTATGAATGTTTACCATGATGAATGACTATAATAACGATTTGATAAATAAAATAATGTCCAAGATGTAGTTTAGGAGCACACACAAAAAAGTGATTTGTAAGCCACCAGGTGCAGGCATTAGTATTAATTCATAATACTGAATATTACCCATATTTAAAGTGTCGATGTTTCAAAAAGATATCAAGTGCAATGAAAGAAAATGTGGCTAATGAGTCTAATTATAAACTTGTTCTTAGGTATCTATTGCAAATATCCGGATCAGAACCAGCTGTCCGTTGCAGATATCTGGATCAGATACAGATGTCTTTTGTTGATATCTGGGTCAGAATCAGATCCAACTGCCTTTTGCAGATATCCAGGTCAAAACCAGATGTCTATTGTAGATATCAGGGTCAGATCAGACCCAGATGTATGTTGTACATATATATCATGGACTGATCCAGATGTCTATTGTAAATATCAGTGACAGATCTGGATGTCTGTTGTAGATATCAGATTCAGATTCAGCTGTCTATTTTAGATATCAGAGATAGATCCAGATGTCTATTGTAGATATCAGGGTCTGATCCAGATGTCTATTGTAGATATCAGAGTCTGGTTGCTTGATCTTTAAAAACTATCTGTCATTTGACCGTTTATATGAACTATTTATTTATTCTATGTATAACCATTAATTTTTCCCCTAATAATTCTCTAAATTATTACCAAGTCTCAGAATTATAGTTTATGTATGGACAACTACTGCTCAATGTTAACAATCTGTATACTTAATGGCAGTTTTATATAATTATAGTTTATAACTATTTGATCTCTTAACTCCCTGTGAAACCTTTTTAACATAAAATTATTATATAATTCAATCTAATGGCATGAAATTTGGTGAATAAAACACTCGGGGCTGTTCAGGCATAGGAACAAAGATAAAACTAAGGACTGTTCAGACATAGGACTAAAAGACTGAGAAATAGATATCCTTTTGACAGTTATGTATATAATTATCTGAAGATGTTTCATTGGCGAAGGAAATCCACAGGTAGAAAACCCCAAGCAGCACTCTTAAACATACATTATGCAAGAGCTAAATCTTCCTATTGCAGGTCTTTCTTTAGGCCTGAAATGTTTTCTAAATTATTAGACATTAATTAACTTATCTAGACCATAATCAACTCTCGATGTCATCGTTATCCTGTGATATTTACTGGATTTCAATACATTTTGGGATGGATAATTTAAGCTGAAAATGGATAATCAAGACTTTATTATAATTCCAACGTTAGTAATGATGATCAAGGCTAGCCTAAATTTGATTCGCTAATATCTCGGTTCAATGTGAAGCAATTTGGCTGAAATTTTCAGCATATTCCATTTCCATAAACTATTTTTAACTATTATAGCGAGATCTGTCAGCTCTTTATCTAATCTTACCTAATGCCCTTTTAATAATCTGAAACACTTTCTGGTTTTAACCATTATGTGTATGGGGATTACTTCCTATGGATTATTTTTCATAAGATTTCTATTTTCCCTTCTACACCAACTGTTTACTTGTTACTTGTTGCACAAATTCACAATCTGGGAATACGAGTTTAGGCCCCCATGTGAATTTGGGCACTAGGTATCCTGCTAGTTATAATGATAACTATCTATGCCTGCGCGGCCCAGTTTGTGACTTAAATTGAGCGGCTCAATGATTTAATTCCTGTTAAAACATTGACTCAGGTCTGTATGTAAACCTACATACAGGTTTTGCCTTCTACAAGAGTTTTATTCTGGTGAAATTCGCCATGTACAGTAACACCATTGCTCAATTGATCCTTCACAAGTTCTCCCAACACTTTCAATTGTCTCAACAGTTTAAACTGTTTCACCTGTACCGGTACAGTTAGTAGTGTAATTCTGAGATTAATTTCAAACTGTTTTTATTTTAAGTTGTATGGTACTGATATGATTCTGATTGCAAAATGTTTTAGTGTATAAGATTATTTTAATACCATTGCTGTTTGAATGATAATAAGATTACCATATATTAGTGCTAATGATTTTTAAATTAATTTTATACTTTGTTTAATACACCAAAATTAGGCAAAAAGTTCTTAGAAGCAGATTGACAAAGTTGTCAAGTCCACAAATTAAAGGTGCTGTCCTTGCTCCAATCAAAATTGTCTTTGCTTTGATTTCAAGGAGTGTCTGTTATAGTCAAGGTAGTTTTGGCCTTAATGATATCAAAATGATTGTTCAGTGTGTAAAATCAGTACGCTTCCCAAATGCATTTAATATCTGAAGTTGTGGATAAATCCACTTTTAGAGAGGCTGCAGCTATCACTGAGACCGTTCATTTATCAACAAATGACTTTAACTAATGTAAATATGTGACACAAACAGATCTAGGTAGTTATTTTATATGCATAATGGTTAGTAATCCGACAGTTGTCATTAAGTAGGTGTTAAGGTGTCACTAATCTGTTAAAACTGTGACTATTAAATGATATACATCAGTATTGGTTAGGTTTGTGTATTCAATAGTCATGGGCAGTCACTTCCTGAAGCAACAACCGCGAGTTTTACAACATCTAACCATTGCTAGATTAGTCTGAAATTCCCTAACTTACTGTTACGTTATCTCCTTTTACCACAGACACGTGAACAATAGCCCTGTTTCATCAGAAGCCGTGACACAAGCACACTCAAATCAAACATGGAAACCTTGACATTAAACGAACCTTAAACTTTGCAACACGATTATCACAAGTAGACATTTTAGCTGAAAAGCGCTAGACTTGGTATTTGCGATATTTCCTATAGAGGAATCTGAGAGGTCCCCAGCTGGTTCAGTAGCCAATCGAAATTAGTGGCGAAATATGCAGGGTGTTACATGAAGGGCTTGATAGATGTACAGAGTTAAAGCGAGATCACGATTTTTTACACTGTAAGTGGCATCTTTTACAGCTAGTTACACATCTGTTAATTAATGACTATTGTCTAATTTCTAACCACTTTCTATACTAAACATTAGTTTAATGGCAAAAAGTTTTTCATCAGTAAAAGTTAATAATTGAATTCTCTGTTACGGTGATCAGTATGAACTAACCAATTGTTTTACCCAATATGCAGTGGTATTCTAGTCAAATACAATGTATGTTTGTTATGTCTGTAATGTATGTACACACTATACCAATTTACACTGGCAACTTGTCTTAAATCTGTCAGTGGCGTGCATAGACAGGGAGAACGCCCTGGGCACCCATTTCAGGGGAGGGCATACAATTGAATTTTTATACGCCCACATTTTCATGTGGACGTATTATGTCATCGCCCCTGTCCGTCCGGATGTCTGTCTGTCAACAATTTGTTTGTGGACACTCTACAGGTCACAATTTTTATCAGATTTTGATAAAACTTGAAAAGATCATGTTTCCTTTCTTCAAGGATTATGGCCCCTAACTATGAAAAATCATGTTTTTAGGTTGTGGATACTCTAGATGTCACAATTTTGATGAAACTTAAAATGCATGTTTATAACTCAAAGATCTTGGTTCCTTTTGATATTCGTGCATATCGGATTGTAAATTCCTGAATTATGACCCCATGATTGTATGAAAAAACACTTTTTTAACTTCTGGACCCTCTAGAGGTCACAATTGTTATCCAATTTTAAATATGTATATGTTATGTTCCAAAAATCTTGGTTCCTTTCTCTATTTGCGCATATCAGACCGTAACTTCCTGGATTATTGCCCCGGATTATACTAAAAATCACATTTTTAGCTTGTTGACCTTCTAAAGGTCACAATTTTTATCCAATTTTAAATATATATATGTTATGTTCCGAAAATCTTGGTTCCTTTCACTATTTGCGCATATCAGACTGTAACTTCCTGGATTATAGCCCCTGATTATACGAACAATCACGATTTTAGCTTGTGGACCTTCTAAAGGTCACAATTTTTATCCAATTTTAAAAACCATTTGAATATATCACTGTCACACTATAATGATGGTTGAGTTTAAATTTCATAAAAATTGGATCGAAACTGCTTGATAAAATGGCCGTTCCTTGTACGCAAATAGTGTAAAAGTATGTAATACCAAGTTTGTGGACCCTCTAGAGGTCACAATTTTTATCTGATTTTGATGAAACTTAAAATATGTTTGTATCCCAAAGATCGGGGTTCCTGTAGATATTCACACGTTTCAGGCTTTAACTTCCTGAATTATGGCCCCTGATTGTACAAAAAATACCTTATTTTTTTAGTGTGTTCTCTGTCCATCTCTTGCAAAATGTGAGCGTATATTGCATGGCAACCGCTTGTTTTTTTAAATTTGATATTATTACTGTGTTTACAATCAAGGAGTTGGCCCCAGGTATCACCATACCTCTGCACGTCACTGAATTCGTTAATTCAGTCTGGTGAAAAAATGTGCAATTTAGCCAATGAAAAGTTGTGTATTGTGTGTTGGTTCTTGTTTAGCCAATGAAAAGTTGTGTATTTTGTGTTGGTTCTTGTTTAGCCAATGAAAATTTGTGTATTGTGTGTTGGTTCTAGTTTTGTGTTCTCATGTACATTGTATTTTATCATAAACACTGTTTACAAATTTTTTTTGTAGTGTAAACAGGTCAAACATAAGCGTGCCATACTGAGTACTGTGTCAGTTTGGCCCACTGAGGTGAGGTGGTCTCAACACGGTGCCAACTTGTTAGTGTAAACGCTATCTTACCATGTTCCTCGTTCCCATATATTCAGACTGGTGATCAAAATGATTCAGTATAGGTGGGCTGGAACTATAATAATACTGGATGACCCAGATGATACAGTATCGGTAGGCTAGAACTAACATAATACTAGATGATCCAATAATAGCTAGGCTACTTAATCGTCACTACTGCAAGTAACAAGTGTGAAATAGATTTATTTAAGCTTTGCTTCCACCCAGGTGATACAGTCTGTCTCATGATAAGAGTTTAACTCTGTTTTAAGATGTTAACTTTGAACCAATAAAAACATGGTACTCCTACATTAATTGCGATGATATATACCATATATTTATTATCTGTGAAGTTTTTGTTATGAAGCTATCTATATCGTTATATTGATGTGTTTGTTTATAAGTTTTATTTCTGTGTATCAAAACCTTCAATTTTCTCTCTGGTAGACAAAAACAAACCATGACAAATTTGTTGATATCATGTACAATAACTACATGGTTGTATATATTATCACTTGGGCTTTACTATGGGGGATGGAGGGGGCGGGGAGGGGGGAGGTGCCACACTAACATGGAAGTTTAATATGCGACCCTGGCATGTTGGCCGAGGAAGTTTCTCAGGTTTTCAAAGAACCCTGGACAGATGGCATTAGACCACGAGTACAGGTAGGCAGGAACGCTGTGCGGTCAGTAGGTTGTTGTCGTAGACGTTAACCTCCCCCGGGTATCATTACAGGCTAACAGTAAACCTTAATATATCTTATAGTGAAGTCAAAGTGATTAATTGATTATTAATAATATTAAGTTTGTGTTTATATGTGACCTGTATATTGTTATATTGTTGTTCAGTGTTTAAACTAAGTACTTTATTATATATCACCATGGAATTAGTTAGTATTCTAATTCTATGATACTACCTGTGTTTTATATATGTGTGTGTATTTTTATTGAAATATAACCAAATAATTTTACCATCTGACAACTTGTCAGTGCTGTATTTATAACTAATAACGACTGTTTTCTCTTTGTTTCCTTTTTTATGAAATAAATAAATGTAATTGATTTATTGGTGTTGGAATTCTACAAATCAGTAGATAGCTGATGTCACTGGCTGGTTACAGAGAGACTCTGATGGACTATTGTCTCAATAGCAAAATGACTGTTTTGTGTAATCTTGGTGCTATGCAATTACAGATACATGTATCTATTGATGTGGGGAAACCCCATCCTCTATTGATGAAGGAAATCCCATCGTATATGAAGAGGCCAAGGAAAGAATGATCTAAGTCATATTTTTGTCTTTTCGCATAAAAGGCAAACAGACTTTTGGACGAGAATACTTGACGCAAACAGAACAACAAGTGGGTTTAATTTCAACTTCAAAATGATGTTTAATACGAATCATAATTACCAGTACAACAACTGACTTCAACTTTTCAGCCAAATTAAGGTCAAATAAAGGGTACAATGGACTATTTGTCCAGGAGGCCATTTCAGAAGAACCTTGGTTTGATGTAACTCTGATTGTTTTTACCTGAAATTGATTGTTCCAGAGAAAACTTATATAATTTGCTACCAGATGGCGCCATTAACTGGGGTTCTTTGAAAAGTGACTTAGATCGTTCTTCCCCTGGGCTCTTCATATATTAATCCCGGGGGAAACCCCATCATCTATTAATGGGGGAAATCCCATCATATATATTAATGGAGGAAACCATCATATCACACCCCATCATATCTATTAGCGGGGGAAACACCATCATGTCTATTAGTGGGGGGAGCCCCGTCATATTAGTGGGGGAAACCCCATCATATCTATTAATGGAGGAAACCATCATATCAAACCCTATCATATCTATTAAAGGGGAAGACCAACGATTTTCAATAAGGTTTCCATAAATAAGAAATATATATTTAGAAATAATCCCTCCTATAACATATGCAAAAAATAATTTGTAAGCGAGAAATTAATTTTTATTAATACCGGAAGTGACGTAGTTGGTTCGACACGCTCACTGGTCACTATAGTAAACATACTAATTTGGAGTAAGTTTAGCGCTGTATTTTGTGATCGTTTCGCCGTTTGGCAGAAAATCTGATGAAAGGTAATCTTTATTAGGATATTAAGAACAAGAACTTACGGTGTTTTGAAGGTATAATATACAACGCGTTTGTGTAAATTAAGTTTCTAAACTGGACACTGTGACACAATTTAAGCCACATGGCCAGCTGGATCGGTCGAAATGGTCGCTAGCCGAATAGGTCGCCAATTTGTGTTCGGTTAATATCTGTCACGTGCCAGCTATCATGTGATGTAAACAATTAGCCATGTGGCTTAAATTGTGTCACAGTGTCCAGTTTAGAAACTTAATTTACACAAACGCGTTGTATATTATACCTTCAAAACACCGTAAGTTCTTGTTCTTAATATCCTAATAAAGATTACCTTTCATCATATTTTCTGCCAAACGGCGAAACGATCACAAAATACAGCGCTAAACTTGCTCCAAATTTGTATGTTTACTATAGTGACCAGTGAGCGTGTCGAACCAACTACGTCACTTCCGGTATTAATAAAAATTAATTTCTCGCTTACAAATTATTTTTTGCATATGTTATAGGAGGGATTATTTCTAAATATATATTTATTATTTATGGAAACCTTATTGAAAATCGTTGGTCTTCCCCTTTAATGGGGGAAACCTCATCGTATCTATTAATGGGGAACATTATCATCATACCTATTAATGGGGGAACCCATCATACCTATTAATGGGGGAAACTTTATCTACAGTATGGGAAAAAAAACTATCATCATATCTATTAATGGGGTAAATCCCATCATATTTATTAGTGGGGGGACACCCCATCATATCTATTAATGGGCGGGGGGAACCTTTCTGTTAATCGGGGAAACCCATTATTTAATCTATGAGTCCATCATAGCAGAGTCCCTTTATGGTGCAACTTCGATTAAAATTAATCATAGTTATGAACTCATATTGTAAAAAAGGAAACAGTTTTTTATATAAGCTAGTCACATATATGACATCTATTGGGTTAAACAATTATTATCATTATTAGCTATGATATCATAATTATATACTAGTCTATTAATCTATGTCAATATATCACATCTTTACTCCTTTCCACTAAATATTTGGTTTGCAATATTTGTCAACAAATGCAGCAATTGAAAATGGCTGTAATATACAGCGTTTCAGTCACTAAAGTTTTAACTCTAGCCAATTAGCTCCTATATTTAATCTACATCACTAGGACGTCCATCCAATACTGTAACAGTCTGTGGATTGCCATCGAAAGTGGTGGATATTGTTTGCTTCTACCTCTAAATTAGCTCCATTGTAATTCTATGAAAACTTCAGGTCAAACTCAATATTGAAGCGACTTACATTGTCCAAATATGATGGTTAACGTTAGAAAATGGTGGCTATTGTTTGCTTCTACAGAACTGGGCTTGGTAGAATTGTACAAAATTCCTCAGGTCAAATGCAATGTCAAAGCGTATTACATGGTTCAAGTATGATGGTCTGCTTCTATGGAACTGGGCTTGTAGAATTATCAAAAGTATCTCCATCTTAACTCAATCAAAACTTCAGGCCAAACTAAATATCGAAGCAACTTACATGTAGTTTAGTTAACAATAAAGTCAGCGATTAAACTGGGTTGAAATACAGATGTGACATTATCCTCTGATGTTGGTGTACCATTATTTCAAATAATACATTATTTATACTAGTTGAAATATTGGACTCGTGTGATGATTTCATTTAAATGCACAAGCAGGGTTATTGTGTCTGTATTTTAAGTTTTTCAATGGTTTTGAACAAGATATTATGTAATATATTGAAACAACACTCGGACTAACGCCATCATGCAGTATCAATATAAATTACTAAATGTCTTGCTCTCGACCACTGAACCACACTTAATACTGACATATCGTAAGCAACTGTTATTTCTTAATTATTATTTCACTTTCTGTACTGGTAGGTTTTTTTTATAATTTATGCTTTGTTAACCAGCCTTTCTCTTTTAGATCTGTTTCTAAAAATCCCTAAAATATAAGAAAAGAAAATAGATATTTATCAGACTCAGTTATCTTGTGAAAAAATTATTGTTCATGATTTAGGCATAAGATTTAGCTTATCAGAGCCATGCAGTAGGATTCTTATTCAACAAATAAGGACAGAGGGCTTGACGAGGACAGCTGTCTAGTCGATCAGATGGGACAAAAAAAAAGGTCTTGTGTATACATTGACGTAAAAGATCCCTTGGCAGTTGGAATTCGCTATAATAGTAGGACGTAGCGCCGTCATCCTGGAAAAATGTCCTCCATCAATGCCAACTGACTTACCTTAACTGCAGCACCAACACCATTTAAGTCTAGTAAAAATGTATCATGACCATATATAGAATTCAGTTCATAAAAAGTTACTGCTGGATTTCCTAAAAAAGAGAATAACAAGTTTGATTTGATTATGTCTAGAACACATGTGAGATTTCAGGAGCCACAGTGGATCAGTGAGTAAGAAGCTTGCTCACTAACCAGGCGGTTAGTGCAGTAATGTTAGACATTAAAATATATATATTATAATCACGGCATGGGTCCTACTTTCCAGTTAATAGACATGCTACTGTACTTCTTGCAGGACAATCTACTTATTAATATTTATTACAAAAATGACCATCTCGTGATGTTGATGATTCAACGCATGAATGAATCCCATTAAAACTAAGGATAGGATGGTGCTTATCGCCTCTTCGCCTGTCACCTGAACTTCTCATGACTATGGTGGTTCAACCGCATAAATAAATCGCATTAAAACTATGAAATGAAATGGGGTTTAACATCCAACTGTTCTGCTCCGACAGGACTAATGAAGACTGGCATATGCCATACAATGTGCTATGAAGGAAATTGTGCTCAGACAGCAGCACTGGCTACGGCCTACTCTTATATTGAATTCAAACTGTCAAGGGTTCTTTTAGGTGCGAGGCAATGTGTAAACGGGACCTTGTTTTTTTTTTGATCCCATTGGAATGACTAGTCACTGTTCCTCAGCAGGCCTTCCGTCCTGCATCCAATGACAATGAAGACGGTATATTTCTTCCAGTTTTAGACACAAAGAGATGAAATCAAGAAAGCAAATATCCGAATCTATTTGATTTTTTGGTGTGGACATGGAATCAAAACTGAGAACTAACCCGATTCTTGTAATAACCTAGCAAGATGTCGTTGCTGCCATATTGGAAACAATATGTCAGTCTGAACACCGAGTATCATGGCAGGACAAACAATTCTTTTCAATGCTTCTTTAGTTGACCCAAATTCTTCTCCAATATCAAACAGATCCATAGCCTGAATAGATTCAAAACATACAGATTCCAGTAGTAGTAAAACCAATCTTATTAAATTTAAATATTTTTCTGTTCTGTTCTGAACATCTTGCTTATCCCAGTTCTAAAATTTAATGAAATACTAATAAAAAAATAATTGAGTTTAGGAATTAAATATTTTGGTATTTAATCATCCGAACGACTAGACAGCTGTCCTTATCAGGCCCTTCGTCCTGCACCACTGACAAAGGGAAACCATGCCAGAAAATCCTGATGAACTTTTTCAGCAACCTTCAGGCTAGCAAGCCAGCATCTTACTCACTGAGCCACAATGACGACTAACAACAGCAAGTGATGAACATCTTGCTATCACTACTTCCCTTTAATATACTGACCTTTGAAATATATAGTAGTGAGTTTGGATCAAATTTCGTACTGAACGACTCGCCTTGATGTTCTAGGTAACTCTCAATGGTAAACGTTGGACACAATGAAACATTCGCCGATTTTTCAATAAAATTACGTCCAAATCTTTGATCCCATTCTGGACCACTTCTGTATGTCATTGTAGCTATTTCTCTGCAAAATACGATCATTCAAATCTACATTATTTGTTTACTACACAATTATTTAATCATTTTTGAGACGAAACAAACAATTGCTATTCTTATGGTTCAGTGTGAGATGCCATACATCTGCCTACTTTACCTTTCTTCCACATCCCATAAGTGGGTAAGCAGAGGTCGGGTGTTCGATCCCTGCATTAGCCCAGAAAGTGGAGGGCCTGACAAGGAGAGCTGTCTAGTCGTTTGGATGGGACGAAAAACCGAGGTCCCGTGTACACATTGACGTGCAAGTAAAAGATCCCTTGGCAGTTGGAATAAGATATAAGAGTAGGCCGTAGCGCCGATGCCCGTGCAAAATTTCCCTCATAGCACACTGTATGGCGTATGCCCGTCTTCATTAGCCCATACTATACGAACGACCAGGTACATTTATCTTATCAGTTCATAAAGCACAACCTCTGGTAAGTAAAGACAGTCCTTGAAAAATCCTAATGGATCATCTTAGCCCTTGCTTGGATTTGAACCAAGAGCAACCTCAGTGGACAGTTCAGTCCCATGACCACTTGACTTCCACAGAACACAATCAAGACCTTAACCTCCAATAAGAGACCCTGAACCCTCACACACTTCCTGATTTAAAACTTCTGTCAGTACGAATTCTGCATGAGGCAGTGATATACAAAATAATCTGGCACCAAATGTCTATTTCTAAGTAGGTGTCTCCAGCAAGCATTGGTCTGAATGAATAAACAATATCTTTTAGATAAGATGCAATCAATTTTGACATGGTTTGGATTCTGAGCCAGTGGGTATGATTTAAAAGTTTAAAATATAGTAACGAACCTGGCTAGTTTCATACCCATTTTAGGGTAGGATCCCTTTTTATCATAATAATATCCTTTATTCCAGTTGGGATCTGACATGATACATTTTCTCTGTAAATAACGTATAGCGACAGATGATGGATGCGACTCTGCACACGATGATATTGATACAAACCTGAAATAAAATATAAAATAAAATAAATGCAACTGATATATTTTGCTTATGTTTTTGAAGAGTATTTTCTATAACTGTTATCAAACTGACTCCATAAGTATGTGAGTATTATAGTTTATTAGATTTTATTAAGTCTGGTTTAAATTTCATTATACCTGTCTATTCTCTCAGCGTAAGGTATTGACAGGTGTTATTAAATCATATTACCTGTCTATTCTCTCTGGGTAAGGTATTGATAGGTTTTATTAAATCATTACCTGGCTATTCTATCAAGGTAAGGTATTGATAGGTGTTATTAAATCATATTACCTATCTATTCTCTCAGGGTAAAGTATTGATAGGTTTTATTCAATCATATTACCTGTCTATTCTCTCAGTATAGAGTATTGATAGGTTTTATTAAATCATATTACCTGGCTATTCTCACAGGGTAAAGTATTGACTGGTTTTATTAAATAATTACCTGGCTATTCTATCAGGGTAAGGTATTGATAGGTGTTATAAAATCAGATTACCTATCTATTCTCACAGGGTAAAGTATTGATAGGTTTTATTCAATCATATTACCTGGCTATTCTATCAGGGTAAAGTGCTGCGGACATCAATGACAACATACCACCTAACGATGATCCAACAGATGCATGAAGCTGTAACATAAAAATTATACAGATACTTAGTTCAGATAGAACCGCTTCTTGCGATCAGTTGTAAAAAGAAATGAGAGAGACAGGGTCTCTAGGAGTGGAAGGAAATTAGAGAACTTAGACAAACGCATGTAATTAGTCAGACAACTCTACACCTTGCAATGTACATAGGATCGAAACCATGCCCACATACATGCACCCAAGTGATCAAGTGGTAGAAACTTTCTCGTTGATACCCAGAGGATTACCGGGTTTATACCAGGCGATCGAGTAGTAGAAACATAGCCGGTTTATACCCAGGTCATCAATTAGTACTCTACCCAGTTGTTGATGCCCAGGTGACTGATTAGTAGAAACTTACCCTGTTTATTCCCAGGAGATCGAGTAGTAGAAACTTACCCTGTTTATTACCAGGTGATAGAGTAGTAGAATTATTCCCAGGTGATCGAGTAGTAGAAACTTACCCAGTTTATTACCAGGTGATCGAGTAATAGAAACTTACCTGGTTTATTTACAGGTGATCGAGTAGTAGAAACTTACCTGGTTTATACCCAGGTGATCGAGTAGTAGGAACTTACCCGGTTTATTCCTAGGTGATCGAGTAGAAGAAACTGTGCATTCACCATATCCATTATACTGACCACAGGAAACGTTGTAGAAAATCTCTGAAATATGGTAAATATCAACTTTGATTCAAATAATTATTTCAAATGGACAAAATAGCTGCCATATGGTGACAGTAGCAGTTGGTAAATGTAAATATTGGATGCCCTTGTTTCCTTGAATATCATTAAAGAAAAGCGATACTCATACTGGTATATTACTGGATATTCAAGACTACTACAGTATTCATGGTTGTATATGACTGGACAGTCCAAATCTACTATTCCCTACACTGTCAAAATCATGTAAACAGCTCTACATATGACTGGTTATTGGAGGCTATCTATGTGACTTAGGGTGGATCTAAGCAGCAATAGTTTCAGGTAGACAAAGAGATAAAGGGTTAAAGTAGCCAAGTCTCTAACTCAATATCATCCAAAGTCTTCAACATTGAAAATACAAACTATTTGTTAATTAAATCAACATTGATCTTGTGATCTTACCGGGAAAAGATAGGCTTTTGATATCCAACATTTAAGACAAAATAAACATTTTATCATTGGTACACAAATTACATGTATGTACCATAATGCGTTTCAATGCCATTTGTAACATGGGACTCGAAGAACAAGGTTAGCCATATTCCACAAGTTATGTCAAACGGTTATGGCATATTCTTATCTGGAGAGCATGCACAATGAATACTATCGGTGTAGACTGGAATAACCAGACGCTACAGATTGCCTTTTGATTGAGACTTCTGGCGTATTTCACCGAACATAAATGATTAGAAATTACAGTAAAAACAGAAACGATTGAATGTAAATCAGTTTATATACTTTTATATTACATTATTATATGCCTTGTGTCAATACCCATTTGTGTCAATTTCTAGCTCCTAAATATTAGTGATTTAGCTACTTTAAATTACCATTATACATTTAATATTCCATTCTGAGATTAATTGAATGAATAAAATAGGCTATAACATCCTATGTTTCTGTCTCCCTAACCCAGAGGTTCCATGTTCGTTCCCTGCATTGGCTGAGAAAGTTCATCGCCACATTCCGGTGCTGTTCCCCTGTATCAGTGACGCAAAACAGAGAGCCTGGCAAACCCCATATTTTTTATTTCATATTCTACTTTTCTGCACTTATGGGACTAATAAAGACAGATCAATGCCATACAGTGTATTATGAAGTGAAATTTCGTTGAGACAGCAATAGACTTCCAACTGTCAAGGATTCTTTTATGCGTACAATGACTCCATTTTTTTGTACAATATCAACGATTAAATGCTGTTCCTTGTAATTTGAGGTTAAGATATTTTAATTTTATTACATTGCACTAGGGATGACTGACTCTTGAAAAATACTCATTTCAATGAAACACCACCATACAGTGGGCTAGGTTATCATAAACATAAAAATTAAACCATAGGCTTATACCTGATTGGTTAGTGGATTTATTGTCGATGGACCACTGGAATGAAAACAAAACTTCTACAATACAATATAAGCGGAATAAAAAAAAAGATAATAAAAGGATGAGCCATTTGCAGGAGAGATAGAAATAGGATCTGTAGATGCAGGGAGAATCAGGAAAAGAAGTACAACATAAAGCTGAAGATCAATGCACCTGATAATGCTTCAATAGGACTGAAACATTGTACAAACTTGTAAGAGATATTTTTAAAAAATGGCAACAGTGCTATATTTATCAGAGAGATGCAGTGATTCAGTGAGTATGGCACTGTTACATAATCCCTAGGAGTTCCTAGATTCCATTCTGACGTTGTGAAAAATGAGCAGTATAAAATTATTGTTTTTATAATGTTACTGTACCTGGAGCCATAGCAACCACCTAGGTTATTGGTACATATGATAAAATGTTTATTGGTATCAACAGCACACCCTGGTCCGACAAACTTCTCCCACCAACCTGGCTCAAGATTCTCCTACAGAAAAAATCTTTATTAATCAAAAGAAATGGTGTTTAACACAAACAGGTCATTTTGGGGGTGGCTAATATACACAATATTTCTTTGATTTCTACAAATTTTGGTGCAGGGAGGATGTGGAGGTAATTTAAGGATCAAGATAAAACATGCGTACAAGCTAATAGACTCTATGACAGCCATTAAGATCTAACACGCATGGTGAACGATCAGTGTCGAGTGAGACTGACAATTCTCTCCCCATTCACTTCAATGACCTCTTTTCGATCCCTGGTGTGAGTGCATGTGGCTTGAGGGCAACTTCTCAACCACATGGAATTACTCTGGGTACTCAAACAGGAAAGACGCTAAGATAATAAAATTAAAACAACTTGTCTGCGTTAAACACCACAAACAACATCTGTCGGTAAAAGATAAGGGGAAGTAATCACTATATCCATTAATAGACTACTTACAGGATGACTTTTGGCGTGAGAACTGGCAGATAAACCAGCGTGGATTAAAACAGCATTAGATTTATCTTCATTCAATTCACCCCACGTTTCGTAGGCTACCTTTAACTCGGGTAATTTACCATTGTTGTATCTCATATGGAATGGCTCGTTGGATGTAAATACTTTATAACCACCCTGAACATTCTGATAATCAGGTTCCGGACCACTTAATTTACTGAAAGTAGAAATTTTATTAATATCAATCGCTAACAAACTTGACACGTACCAGATGATTATTTAATCAGTAAAAGGCTGGGATGAGGATAAGAATGCAAAATGGTGTCACAAAATGTGGTCAACCTGTACTATCTAGATTTTAGCCACAAAATGTGGTCAGACTATACAATTTCATTCATATTATCCCAGTGGTATAGTTCTGTTCTACTCCTCTAACTAACCTCTGGATCCATTCAAGGGGTTTTCTCGAATTCAGCTTATCTGCCCTTGATTGTAGGTTGATTCAAAAAAACGTTTACCGGTACATACCAGTCTTAGCGTCATTGTTTACATTCACCATAATAATCTTAGTTGCAATAAAATGTGTGTTACTAGGGGTGTCACAATCGGAACAAAATTTGGGGTCGGGTTGTTTCTGAGGCAAAATTTGTCACTGAAGACGATTATGAGATTATTTTACTTCTGTGACGTCATTTTCGGTTGGGGTTTTTCTGATTTCCAAAATGGAAGCCAGAATTTGACGAAAAATTAATTTCCAGATAGTATGGGTGATTATCACGCAAGGTATGGCTTGTAATATATCATATATAAGGTTTTTTAGTAATTGAACTGAAAAAATAATCTCTAAAACTAGTTTCCCCAAATCCAAGATGGCGGAAATTCAAAATGGCGGCTAAAATTTACCTAAAATGGCTGATTTGTCAGATAAAAGTCATTTCACTCTTTGATATGATTTATAATATGTAATTTAAAGGATTTTCAGTGTCACTAAACTTAAAATTAATCTAAATATAACGGGGTTCCAAAATCCAAGATGGCGGAAATTCAAAATGGCGGCCAGAATTTCCCTAAAATGGTCGATTTTTCGGATAATCGTCATTTTTAAGTTTGATATAGCTACCATCTTATGGAGACATAATGTGTGGTGCATTTACGGTCTTATAAAGCTCTATTCTTACATAAAGAATTCTTGATTCGCACGGAAGTGTTTTAGCCGTGATCATTTTAAGTCATGCTTATGCCAAGATCTGGGTAAGTGTTAATTTAACTAGATATCAGAAAAGTACCACGTTTTCATAAATGTACTCTTTAGATAAATTGTACAATATTTATCAGTTCACTAGTTACCTGTTGACCTTTAACATCACACTTAGATCCTGTACGCTTTGTGTCTTACAGTCAATACATGTCATGAAGAACTCTTTAGACATAATTTCGTTTATAATACTTTACTCGTTTCTATTGAGTTGTTTAGCAGAAGTAACCCATGACAACAATATGTTGAGACGACTACGTAACAGAATAGGACGATTCAATGTTATTAAAATGACACAATGACAATTTTAATTTTATTACCAACCCTTTCACAATATTTGAATGAAATATCTCACACAGGGTGTTAATCTGTTTTCAGTTTCTATTCCAATTCAATAAAACATTTAAAACATTTAATACATGTCTTGGCTTGATTCATTATTTACAATTTAATACGTTAATCGTGTATTTTAAATAATACAGTTCAAGAGATCAAAACATTTCCGAATTTATACATTCAACATTACACGTAGACCTAAATGTATTTTTCAAATACGTGTATAAACATTTATATGAAATATATTATAAACAGATATGCTATGACCAGCGTTGCCATTATCTTTATTATTCGACTGGAAAACTCCTGTCATTCACTCTGTCGTTCGACTGATCCATCATTCACGTTGTCATTTCCGAGTCTGAAATTTGGGGTATAGGGGTAGCTCATACCGGGGAGTAACATAGGCCAGGTGGCGTTAGTCTACCACTTCCGGTTTCGGAGTTATGACCCCCGAGCGAAGCCGGGCATTCTTCTAGTATATAAATAAATATATAAATAAATCATCTTCATGGTCATCATCATCGTCATCATCATCGTCATCATCACTATTTAACACCAATCATCGTCGCCTGACAATTACCTTATCTATTCAAAGCGCTTGTTTAGTTTTAAATACTTGTGAACTTTACTAAAACTCACTTTGTTGAACGGGTTACTTTCGTTGGTATCGCCATATAGGAACGCTTTTGTATTTATGGATTTAAATGGGAGGGTATTTAATGTTGAGATACGCTGAGACGAATAATTTGGGCAGTGCAGAAAATAATGGTCGCTGTCTTCTTGAGTATGACCACAACTGCATGTCGGGTTATGTGAAATATGCATTAAAAATCTATGGAAGTTTAGAGCACTTTTACAATTACGAAGTCTGGAATGTATAATCTGAAATTTACGTTCTCCATAGTAACATCTTACTGACATCAATAAATACAAAAATATAAAATGGCTGATTTGTCAGATAAAAGTCATTTCACTCTTTGATATGATTTATAATATGTAATTTAAAGGATTTTCAGTGTCACTAAACTTAAAATTAATCTAAATATAACGGGGTTCCAAAATCCAAGATGGCGGAAATTCAAAATGGCGGCCAGAATTTCCCTAAAATGGTCGATTTTTCGGATAATCGTCATTTTTAAGTTTGATATGGCGAGTGATATGCGATTTAAAGGGTTTTCTGTGTCACTCAACAACCTCAAAAGAAGAGTTTCCAAAATCCAAAATGGCGACCAGAATTTCCTAAAATGAACGATTTTTCAGATAATCGTCATTTTTTCGGTTTTGTATGGCTTGTAATAATGTCCTTTATTAGGTTTTCAAAGTCCACGAACTTGAAAATAACCTCAAAAATGAATTTTGAAAATGAATATTACCTCAAAAATGAATTTTGAAAATGAATATTACATCAAAAATGAATTTTGAAGATGGTAGATGATTGCTTAAAAATACAACAGGACAATCGTGAATTTTCCTATGGGATTGGCTTGTAATAGCAAAGAGTAGTAGTTATTTTGATGGTAACTGGAACTGTTATACTGGATCTCACATAAACAAGATTTAATATTATTCCAGCAAAACAGTGAGGTATATATATCCAGTTGTTAAGAATTTATCTATTGTTTATTCAGAAATGGTTCGAAATAGTGGTTCAGTGAGTAAGACTCGCTAAGAACGAGATCTGGGGTTCGATCCCTATGTTTGCTGAAAAAGTACCTTAGGATTTTCCAGTGTGGTTTCTCCTTGTCAGGATGCAGCACCGGGGGCTTCTCGAGAAACCAGGTTTATATGTACACGTTGACGTGCGCATACAAGAACCCTAGACAGTTGGAATTAGAAATAAGAGTACACCATAGTACCACTGTCTGGGCCAATTTTCCTCATAGCACACTGCTTGACGAATATCAATATTTATTAACTTTTGTTCAGAAGACTTATGTCCGGAAACCGTTTGTGGTATCATCTAGACAGATGAATTCATATTTGTCAGTCATGTATTTCATAAAGTGAAAAGTGTAAAATGAATCATCGAAGTCTCTGTGTCCGCAACTTGTGTGGTATGGTATCCACAGATCATATTCGTCTGTAATGTAATGCACACCAAGTTCTAAGTTAAAAATAATCATCACGAAAATAATTGGAAATGCATTTACGACTAGGTATCCTAAAAGTCATCCCCCACGATTTCCTCTTTTCTTATGTGTTGTTCTTACATGTAGAACTTGTTGTGAAATACGTAACTGACGAAAATGACCTGTGGATACAACATCTAGACGATACCACAAAAGTTACTGGACACGGAGTCTTCGATGCAAAAACGGACCACATTACCATTTCTGAACGAATAGGAGAACTTAAATTCTTAACGACTGGATATACCACAAATGATTCTCACTCCGGTAAAATGGTGCAAGGACAAAGGAGATGAAATTAAAAATGCGTCAGTTGGCCCCGTTGTATTGTTATGGGGGTTTTATGCATAAAAACAATTAAGCTACATTTATTGTGTCTTAAGGTTAAATTCTTTGAAATTCTAATTAGCTGACTGGTAAGTTCTGCACATGGTTTATTTATTGACAGGTAGATTCCTGGGTCAGGTCAAATTAAGTTGCCCTTAAAAAAGTATTACAATTTGCTATTATAAACCAATCCAAGAGAAAGATTGATGATTGTCCCTTTTTTTTCTGAAACAATCATCTTCAATTATCAAATTCAGAGAGAAAGAGAGAGAAATGGGGTTTAACGTCCACTCGGCACAAACTAGGTCATTTCGGGACTAACATATGGTTTAATTTTATTTACATAATTGGCTTGTGCGTAGGGGTCTTTAGCAGTGGGAGGAAACCAGAGGACCCGGAGAAAACCCACGAGGTTGGACAGGCGACCCTACTCCTTGCCACGTACAACCGGGGATTCAAATTCACGCCAGTCGACTCAATGACAGACTTTATGATACAGCACGCGCATGCTAACCATTCAGCCATCCAACCCCCCTATCAAATTCAGTGACTCTGAAAACTTAATAGAGGACATATTACAAGCCATATCAAAACAGAAAATTGACGATTATCTTAAAAATTGATCAATTTAGAGAAAATCTGGCCGCCATTTTTTTAATTTCCGCCATCTTGGATTTTGGAAACTCTATTTTAGATTGATTTTAAGTTCAATGACATTGAAAACCCTTTAAATTACGTGTTACAAACCATATCAAAGAGTGAAATGACTTTTATCTGACAAATCGGCCATTTTAGATAAATTTTGGTTGACATTTTGAATTTCCGCCATCTTGGATATTGAAAACTCTTTTTTTCTTTAGATTAAGGTAGATTCCTGGGTCAGATCAAATTCAGTTGCCCTAAAAAAACTATTACAATTTGCTATTATAAACCAATCCAATAGAAAGATTGGTGATTGTCCCTTTTTTTTCTGAAACAATCATCTACAATTATCAAATTCAGTGACTCTGAAAACTTAATAGAGGACATATTACAAGCCATATCAAACAGAAAATTGACGATTATCTTAAAAATTGACCAATTAAGAGAAAATCTGGCCGCCATTTTTAATTTCCGCCATCTTGGATTTTGGAAACTCTATTTTAGATTGATTTTAAGTTCAATGACATTCAAAACCCTTTAAATTACGTATTACAAACCATATCAAAGAGTGAAATGACTTTTATATGACAAATCGGCCATTTTAGATAAATTTTGGTCGACATTTTGAATTTCCGCCATCTTGGATTTTGAAAACTCTTTTTTTCTTTAGATTAATTTTAAGTTCAGTGACAGTGAAAACCCTTTAGATTACATATTACAAACCAAATCAAACTGTGAAATGACTTTAATCTGACAAATCGGCCATTTTAGGTAAATTTTAGCCGCCATTTTGAATTTCCGCCATCTTGGATTTGGGGAAACTAGTTTTAGAGATTATTTTTCAGTTCAATTACAACAAAAACCTTATATATGATATATTACAAGCCATACCTTGCATGAAAATCACCCATCCTATCTGGAAATTCATTTTACGTCAACTTTTGGCGGCCATTTTGGAAATCAGACAAACCCCAACCGAAAATGACGTCATAGATAAAAAAAAATTCTAAAAATCGTGTTCAGCTAGCAATTTCGCCTCTGGAAATTGCTGGCCTGAAATGATTTGTAAAAAAAATGTCTTATTGTGACACCCCTAGTGTTACTTCCTTTCACCTGCTCAATTGGTCGATGAAAAGAGCAGAAGTATCAAGGGCAGGTAATTTGAAAGGACCAAGGGATTAGTGGAGTAGAATGGAACGATATCAATGGGAATACCGAGTATGATACAATATAGATTCTTTTGTCAATGGTGGTTAGTGTTATGTTTTAATGCACACGCCATAGATCATAGGAAAAATGCCAAACAATTTTAAATAATATAAAATCATACTTTCTAGTTAGACAAGGAAAATCTGTTTCTAAGCCTCGGAAATCAGCATCGGTGTTTGTTTCATCTGATGTAAACTCAGGATAACATGGTGTATCAAGTTGTGGGAGGTTGAAATCAGGTTCAACATCCTTTTCTCTTTGGTACAAGGTTTTCGATTGGCTAATACTTCTTGTTGAGATTTTCAAAACATTTAATTCACCACACGATAATCCATTTAGAAAAAATTTAAAAATCTGTCCTTTGTTCATTTTGAATTTTTTTTTCACATCAACTGATTTGATGATTCAAATTTCTGTACATTTCAGGAATTCTGTTTTCTGTCAATTAATCTGAGTTTTTTAAAAAAATGTTCTAATAAACCAAACAAAGAAATGAATCATACAATTGCTCTACACATCATTTCAATTAAACTGAAATAAAAGAAGAAAAAAAACTATCATTATTTTCTCATATATTTCAATTTCTAGTTAATTTTGAAATTTTTTCTTAAACCTGTACTATACCTGCCAGCCTCGGCATAAGGCAACTGTTACAGACTTGGTCAGGCACAGATTTTATCGCACAACATTTTTATTATAACAAAAACGATGTGTGATAATCTGTGTCTAACAAAGTCTGTGACAGGTACCTTATGACCAGGCTTGTATACCTGTCTCTATACGGTAAATCTGGATTGACTAATGGTGGAGCTATATATATATATACAGTACTCAGTAGCCTGAGGAACAGCCTAGAAAGCAAACTAAAAAAAACTCTTTCTGGTATCTATAAATCATTAGACCGTTCACTACTCACTGATATGACTACTCAATGAATTAATACACACAACATACTGTTATAAATAGGTCGACTTGAGTTACAGCTGTCTCATGAATGTAACATGTCATCAGGTATTTCTCATTTAAAGTAACAGTTTAAAGGAGCTAAATCTCCTGACAACAATTGGTCAGCAACCAGTATGGCTTTTTCAACTAGAGCTAACTCATATTTAGCAGTTTAATAACAACAGAATAAAAAAAACATTATTTATGTCCCCGGCACATATTATATTCTCAAGGTATGGATCAGATTGAAGGGCGTGGATCAGTAAGGGGGAGGGTGGGTAAATTCTGGATTGGAAGTACCGGTATCTTATTAAAGATATATTATGGGAAATTAGATAAAGAGCTGGCAGTTGTCAGTCAAATTGATCCACTCTGAGCCGATATTTTAGCGATTGAATTTTCGGTCTAGCCTCGATCATCATTACTAAAGTCGGTACGATAGAAAACAAAGTCTTGATTATCCATTTCATGATTAAATCATGAATGAAAGTTTAGCAGCAAATCGGATCGTAATCCAGTAAATATCGCAGGCTAGCGTTGACATCGAGAGTTAATTATGGTCTGGATAAATTAATGTCTAATTAATAATTTAGATAACATTTCAAGCCTAAAGAAAGACATGCAAATAGGCAGATTTAGCTCTTGCATAATGTATATTTAATAATATAAAAAATATTAGATAGGCCTGTTAGGGCTTGTATTTTTATAAAAAACATGAAAATCAGTCAAAGTTTAGGAATTTGAACTAAATTAATTAGTAAAATGTGCACTTATAAGTAAATGCCAATCACCATTTCAACACACAACCTTTTGGAGCAATTTCTTTAGCAATTCTTACTCAAAACATAAATATTTTCTGGAGGAATTCCCACTTTAACATCCATTTATTTATAAATCACTTATCAACATTGCACTTCGGTCAAAGGTTATTTGTTTAGAACAAGAATTACAATGTGTATGTGTTCTAATATTTGCCCAAAGCATGGTGACTGTATGGACTGTAAATTTCCCCAGTTGCCCTGTTAATATATTTTTGGTCTTGGCAATTGTTAGAGATAAAGCGCATGGATTGTAAATTTCCCCTGTACATAAATAAGATAATTGTAAGAGATAAAAAAGCTTCCAGGATATATAACAGCACAACATAATACAAGTAGGCCTATGCCGAAAGAACACTTACAGATGCCAAAACTCTAACTCAATATTTTCCATAAAGTTTGGAATTAAATAATCGAATTAAAAATTATTATTAATTATTGATGTTATCTTGCCATAATTAGTCTACTGCCATGAAAATATGGGATCCCGATTCCCGGCATCCAATATTCAAAGAAAATAGCCATACACGCCCCAGGAAAATCAGTCTTGACCTACTTACAAACAAAGATTGCTTTGTCACGATGACTCTTATTTGTTGGACATTTTTTGTTGTTGTTGACATAATGATACAGTGATACAGTGCATGACGATAGTGCATGATATTCACCTGTATACAAAATATAGGCTACATGTAATTGATTAAATGAATTGTGACGTACAACTTCAACTCTTGTGGCTAATTCATACATTAGCACCACATACCAAACTATTGCAATGAAACTTTGTACTTGTTTATCCTCGGAAGTTTAATATAAATCGCTTGTTATCTGTTAGCTGTCCTTGACGTGTGAAGCAAATCTTATGTCAATGACCTGATATTCTCTACTTGCGGTTTGGCTAAAGGGAGGTGATTCTGTTTTCAACTTCCTGTGGAAGTTCATCCGAAAACGTTCAGTAGATATTTGCACGACTTTTCCACAAACTTTTGACTGGCTTTGACGCAAGTATAGTGATATACAACTAGATCTTAACGAAGGTAATGTATCCAAGGTTACGGATTCATTGTAATTTGATCGATGTGTAAAAATTTAAGTTTTAGAATCTTTGGTAATTGAAAATTTACCAGAGTTGCTCCCCCTTGTCTTTTTTGGCTAAACTGTAAGTAGAATTCTAATAATGTGCCATCTGGAGCGCTTTTGCAACAATCACGGCAATATTCCTGTAGTGATAGTGTCAGTGGTTGCCGGTCCATTATGCTCTTTAGTTCACGATATCTGGCATCTGCATGACCATATCACTCTGGTACAGTAGCCTATATTTTGGCCATTTCATTGACCAAATTCAGACCAAAGCGAAAGCCTGCAAAGGCCTGAAAGGGGCAAAGGCATATTGCATTGAATCATTGATTGTCTGAAATATCTGAAGTAGGCTATTATCGACACCATTGCCTCTCATAGCTTTTTATAACACCTCATTGAGTCAAGCTTGTATATGACAAAGAGTATGGTCACAGTTTTTCTCTGGGTCCTCAGGTTCCTTCCACGCCCCAGGACTAAAGACCCCTACTAGTACTAAGTGTAAAATTGAACCACATGTTAGTTCTGAAATGACAAAGTTTGTGTTAAGTTGATGTTATGCCCCATTTCTCACTTTCTGTATGACAAGGTGTTTCTCTGTATCCTCCCATTGCTATTGAAGACTCCTAATAAGTGCAAGTGAATTATAGAAATAGACTTGAACCATATGTTAGTCCCAAAATGACCTAGTTTGTGTCAGTGGATGTTAGACTCTCTCTCTCTCTCTCTCTCTCTCTCTCTCTCTCTGAACCCTTTGAACATGAGTGACCAACCATGAGGTGAGTATTGTTGGAGATAAACCCAGAAAGTTGCGTGGTGTCCCGAATACAAGCTACTAGTTCATTTGTTTTCATTTTCATATGGACAGCAGATGTCTAATTGGTCCCAGAAACCCAGCCAGGGCCAGATTAAGATGCACAGAAGCCCTAAGCAATTAAAAGATTTAGGTGCCTCCATGTAGGCTATGTAATTCAAAATGTAAACAATATCGAAATAAACTGTGAAATAAATTTTTATTTTTCAAAATGAGATTTTATAGTCGATATGCCATTATTGCATGTAATTTAGACAAAGCAGGTAGAGTATCTGCAAACCATTCACAGACTGATAAGCAGTTCATGGGTTAACATTTTCAGTTATCTTTTGTTAAAATTAAACAATAATTTAAGTTTCAGGAAAAATATCCAGGCAGCATATTTAATTATGGGGAAAACTTGTGATAAGATAAAGAAATTTATTGAGGATGATCGACCCCAGAAATTAAAGTCGTACCTGATTGAACACCGGATTGGTATTGATGATTACACGTTTAATAAAGGACAAAATCTACTCCATTACAGCGTTAAAAAATCTTCTCCTGGTGTCCTCGGGTAAGTAATGACGCTTGTTTGAAATTAGACGTTGGATATTATTGAGAGATCAGCCTACAGTCGGCATTATCCCAGTGGGAGCAGAACAGTAGGATGTTAAACCCCATTTCGTTTAATTTGCTTGTTAAATGAAATTCAAGGCCCAATATTCACAATCAAGGTTTGAATTAGGCACCAGTCCGTCCAAAATGAACACCAAAAAATACTGCTGCTCATGTGAGGTCCATCTTTCTAACCATACAAGCAACGCAAACAGCGGCTGATGATTTTGGTTTTCATCAAGAATTTACATTCTTTTCTAGATTTACATACTTCTAAATGATTAACATTTCTTTCACCATTGAATGTATTTTTAGAAGAACCTGTGTTTTACTGGGAGGACCTATATAAACTGTTGCCAAGTTTCAAACACTGCCTGTTCCCAATATTTGGTAATATTTAAATAAGAAATTGATGTGTCTTTGTTTCGAAAAGTGTATTTAAATTTTGTAGCCTGTCTTACCAATATTAAGTGAATATATAATTTTTTGTTTTCCAGCTATTTATTACGTATGGATTTTGACGTACGAAAACGAAACAGTAAAGGACAAACAGCTCTCGACATCGCCATCAGAAAATCCAAAAAATCCAAAAAATCAACCGCTATCAAAAGTATGTACAATATATCAAATAACTTTATAAAAAATTTGTAATTTCCTGAGTGACTGAAACTCAACATTATTGAACATTACTACTGCTTTATATTTGCGAACATGTAATAGAACCCTTGGAAGTTTAAATTTGATGTAAGAGTAGGCCATAGGGTCGCTGTCCGGGCAAAATTTCCCTCATAGCACACTGTATGGCGTATGCCCGTCTTCATTAGCCCAGTTGCAGGAGAAAAGTAGGATGTTAAACCACATTTCATTTCATTTATATTTGTGATGATTCACACCCATCTGATATCATTCCTTAGCATTGTTTAGGGGCATAGATAACCAACAGTTACTAACAGAAAGAACCTTGGGTTTTTTTTTCAATGTGAGCCCCTCCTTTTTCGATGATTGAATTTGTAGAGCTGACAAAGAAAATGTGACTTAGTGGCTCCCGTGGGGTGGAAAGCCAGGAACAACACTTGTTTTTCATGCAAATTAGACAAACAAATGAATTTGATAAAGATTCAGAAGAATTGCCACTGTCCAGACAAAATTCTCCCCCTTGCTTTGCCAATGTGATTGGTTTCTGACAATACTGTAAAAAAAAACCCTCAGGTTTTCCCATCAAAAATCAATCCTATTTAATTCTGATGTGTTTTCAGTTTACCAAGAGATTGTGGTACCATTGGTAGATTATTATCAACATGATGGTCAACATTTCAAATTACCGACAAAAATTAAAATTAAATTAAAAGAATTACAAGAAAAATTATTCCACCAACATGAACAAGTAAGAGATTTCAAACAATATTATCTTTGACAATACTATCCTATTGAAGAATAATAATGTTTCATTTTTGATTTTGTAAATGTCTTTTATTGAAAATGTATTTTTGTTACTGTACTGATTATTGTTATTAGGCAACACAAATAAAATAAGTTGTTTCTCGGGCACCGCCGGCCTATTTATTAGTCTTGATGAAAAATAAAAAATATGTAACGCCCGCCCGAACATCGATAAGCAAGTCATAAAAATAATATGCCGCATGTACCTACATGCGTCATACGTGTATATCCATTCAAATGTATTAAACTGATCCAGATGTAAATGCTCATTTACGGGTCTTTTTTTATTGATATCGAAAGAACCTCCATTTTTGTATCACATGATTTTAATTACCTCCCCTGGTGAACTAGAATTTGATTCATGTTCAACACCGAAAGTCATTGACAACAATGCAATGTATTTCAATCATTAGATATTAATCGGCTCATTATTGCCGGCTTCAGTCGGTCCATGTTTGAAAAATCCTACTGATAAAACAAGGAATCGTAGAACAGGTTAATTATTACTTGTGGCTACGAATACGACACGATGATAGTCACCATACCTCAGTCAGAATTTGGGTCATTAGCACATTTAACGGTAGTTTTGATAATCCGGAAAATAATAATTGGATTACACATTTGATGGTTTTACTGACCAGTTGTTAGTTAAATTTAAATAGTCATTCGATATAACCCCAGATAGAACACCGAACATCATGAGAAACACACCGAATATCCTGAGAAACAGTCATTTCCCGAATCCCGATGACACGTGACATGCATTGGTTGGAATTAGGTCAATAATTATAAACCAGCGATACTAGATTTAGTTCTAAGTGTCGTTTACCGTGATGATTATTTTTGATACACATGCTGACAGAGGCTTACTCTTTAAAATATTGTCGTTATTATGGACGGCTATTAATAGTCGTACAGAATTTTATTTTAAACCAATTTCAATTATGTTTGTCACCATTACCATTAGTAAGCTACATTACGTGAATTAAATATGGAAAATTATTTTCCTTTCAGTCAGTGTTCAGTGTTTGAGACTTGAGTAGACTTGATTTTTGGGTTTATGTTCTAAGTATGTACAATATATAACTGAAAGCAAAACCATAGACAAGTAATGACTTTCTCATTAAAAAAAAAAAAAAAAAATACAAATTTTATTTTGCACCATCCTCTAGCCAGCAATGGGGTAAAAAAAAAAAGAAACCGCCCACCCCCCCCTACAGTTTCAGCTGTCAGTTGCCCGAGAAACAAGACATTTATTTTGTGTAGCCTTACCATGGCGATTTTGTTATGGCAATTCTTGTTATGATGATGTTCAAATCTACTTCAGAATTCCAGTCATCATATGAAGGTAGATAACTCTAGATTGTCGTCTACATCTGAATCAGAGACAGATGAAGACATGGAGGATGAGAAACGATGGAATGAGAAAATAGCAGAGGAAAATGACGATGAATATATGAGTTCGTGGGGAAATTATGAAGAAGGTATACCACACACACACCACACGACCTTATAGCTAGCTGTAAATAGTGATTGGCTGACTATTGGATAAAATTCTAGTTGGGTTGTCTTGTTAACACAAAAACTGCCCAAAAATCTCTCCTCAGAATTCACACGAAGAGTTTTGGCATACCTACGAATTAGTCTACAGAGTGCTATTCACGTGGCTTGGACGATTTGAGGTGGCCATTCAAACAGTAGTTTAGGCTGGTTTCAGGCTGTAAAGGGACAAGATGGATAACTTTTCTCTAATTTTCTTCAAGGAACTGAGGAAGTAAATATTTACATGTACCAAGCACTAAAGGGTTAATGTCTTGAGGATATATCAGCAGTCAGTTACATGACAAATAAACACTTTAAATAAGGCCATTAAAATATTGTGGTCCCAATTTTATAAAGCATTCTCAGACTTAAGTTAAGAATTTACTCAACTTTAAGTCACTGTTTATGAGAAATAGCCTTGATCCAGAAACACAAAACTTTGCACATAGTTTCTTATTGATGCATTTGATACATTAAAACAACAAAAGTTTTATAACAGGCTATTTTTGAGTTAAAATAAGTCAAATAATTTTGAGTAAATTCTTAACTTAAGTCTTGAGAATGCTTTGTGAACTCGGGCCTGGTTGTCATAAGGCTTTAAATGTTACAAAATTGGTGATAAATATTGTTATTGGTGAATATCTCACTCTATAAAAACTTGCAGGCTATACCAGAATAACATAACTCAATGTTTATTCTTTGAATACCCTATGTCTATAAGCCCTCTCCATGGGTTGAGCTCAAGTGATCGTTTCACTGTGGAACATGCTGTATTGATTGGAATGCAATCAAGTTCTGTCAGAGTTATGTCAGTACTGAAAACACATTATGGTGTAAACAGAATTGTGACGTGATCTAACGATTCCGCTGTGTTGATTGGTCTTGATAGTATCAGTTTGCACATGCCTTGTCACCCCAATTCTCATGTTTACTTGACTGACACTTTTCGAGGGATAAAAAGAAAATGATTTCAGATTGCTCGGTCAAGTATCCCCTTGTGGTGTGAGCAGAATCATGACTCAATCCAACCTCTCACCACACAAGGGATTGATGGAATTCAAATCACCACCCAAGGGATCAAGGGAATTCAATTCCAGATTGATCAATCGATCGATTATCTCTTCCCTATATTTTGTCTCCACGGCTGGGATCGTTTTATTATTATTTTCAATTATTTTACAGATTTCTGTGATGAGGGCGAAAAGGAAACCTATGACCAATGGACGAGTAGGATACACTGTGAACATAAATTAAAACAACAAGCCAATAGATTCCATCCTTACAACAACACATCACCTAAATCAACCGATGGTACGAATTCCAAGACTGATGCCATTTTAAACGACAAAAAATCGAAACAAAAAATACGTGAAGAGAATCTGAGACAGAAGCGAGTAGAGCTGGAAAAAATATTTGCAGAAAAACAACTAAGAATCCGAGAAATATCACGTCAGGAGAAAAAATATAAATATGAAGAGAAATATACAAAATTTTTACAAACTAAAGGTGAAGGACAAATAAAATATAACGACATTCCTTGGCCTTTTAAGACAAAACTTTCAGAGATAACAGACATTTTATTTTGTGATTTTAACGACAAAAACAGTGATTCGTATCGTAAATATTTACGTGAACAACAAGTTCGCTGGCATCCGGATAAGTTCCGACAAAATTTTGTTGAATTTCTGGCTGAAGAAGAGAAAGAGGAAATCTTAGATAGAGTGACAGAAATTTCTCAGTATTTAAATAAATTGACTGAAAAATAATATTTGTAGTAATTGATGTGAATTTATGTATTATTGAGCCTATTTATTTATTTGAATATTTATTTTTACTGAGTTTAAGATTTAAAAAGTTTAATAAAATTATTGGTTTTATTTATATTCAATACAGATTTAAGATCACCGAGAAGTTATACATGTAGTACATCCTGTTTGTTTGCAAGTCAAATGGGGTTTACAGTCCTCCTTTATTGGCTTCATCCAGGCTAAAGAAGGCAGGCACAGTGCGATATAAGGGAAATTTTGCAGGACACCAGCTCTACAACTTACTTTTAGTTCGAAATTCCAACTGTTATGTCTTTTGGTGTCTTTTTTTTGTTTTGTTTTTCTTAGGGGGTTGGATGGCCAATCATTAATATGTGTGTGTTGCATCATCAGGTCTGTCATTGAGTCAAGTGATTTTGATTCCCTGCTTGATGTGACAAGCAGTAGGATCACCTGTCCAACCTTCTGGGTTTTCTCCTGGTCCTCCGGTTTCAAGCGAATTGTTAAAATAAAATCGAAACCATATGTTAGTCCTGAAATGACCTTGTTTGTGCCAAGTGGATGTTAAACCCCATCTCTCTCTCTCTCTCTCCCTCTCTCTCTTTTGTTTTTTTTTTCTCTCTCTCTCTCTCTTTCTCTCTCTCTCTCTCTCTCTCTTTTGTTTTTTTCTCTCTCTCTCTCTCTCTCTCTCTCTCTCTCTTTTTTGTTTTTCTCTCTCTCTCTCTCTCTCTCTCTCTCTCTCTTTTGTTCCCCCCCCCCCCCGAGTCCTGTACAACTAACAAGGGAAACTACACCAGAATACTGAGGAACTTTCTAGGCCATCGCGGGGTTCGAGACCTCCAGGTTAGCGAACCAGTACCCTACTCTCTGAGCCACCATGACTCTCTGTTCATCAGGACTGTGTGTTACTTGGACAAGAAAAATGAGATTCCCAGTACAAATTAGTTTTGAATGTGAAAGATCACTTGGAAGTTAGAACAACCACCCCCCCCCCCCCCCACTAAAAAAAAACTCCACCTGTAGAAAAATTATTTGATAATTTCACAATTCTGCGTGTAACCATATAAAAGAATATTTGTTTGTTTTAAAATGACCTAATAGTAATGCAGGATGTGTTACGATAGGATTGTCGCTATTGAGTTCATGATCTGGTACGTGCGTATACGTTTCGATACGATCAACATGATTGCTACGTCTGACCTCAATATATGATGGGATTACCACGATTTCAGTTGTACAGCGAATTGTGGTAGTGGGAACCTAGCATAAGTGAAGTGCAGACCTGAACCTTTTTCTAATCGCAATACTTGCCAAGAAGCTCAGATTTTCGATCTGGTCCTGGTAAGATGAAACAATGTATAAAAGAAAATGTTCTTTTGTCTTGTTTTAATTTGATCCAAACCCTTAACGCAATTTGGATCTTTTTTTTTTATGAATTGCACTAACACATGCTTCGAAGCTCAAAATCAGCTAAGTAAATAAATCGCTAATATTTAGGACTGGGAAATTGACACAAATGGGTCGCAATGCGTATAATAATGTAACATGATTTACATTCAACTTTTTCGGTTTTCACTGTAATTTCTAATCAGTTCGGCGAAATACGCCAGAAGTCTCATATGAATGGCAATCTCTAGCGTCTGGTTATTCCAGTCTACACTGAAAGTATTTATTACGCATGCTCCCCTGATAAGAATATGGCATCACCTTTTGACATGACTTGTGGATTATGTCTAGCCTCGTTCTTCGAGTCTTGTGTTACAAATGGTGCCGACACGCATTATGGTACACGATTCGTGTACCAATGGTAAAATGTTTATTTTATCTTAAATATTGGATATCAGAAACCCATCTTTTCCCGGTAAGTTCACAACATCAATGTTGATTTAAATTGACAAATAATTCATATTTTAAATGTCGAAGACTTTGGATGATATTGAGTTAGAGATGGGTGCCTAAAACGTGGTACCACATGTGGGGGATGCAATGCTGCGAATGGAGTAAGCGGGCACAAACGATTGCCGTTCAATCTGGAATGTTCACGATCCCCGAAATCACAAAAAAGTATTATAAATTGAATGTAAATTGTTTTTTATACACTCAGTTTACATTAATATGTGCTAAGATTCCACTTCCACTCTAACATAACTACAACACCTACCTTTTAGGCCTATTGTCATATTACCAAATAAGCATTTTACTTTATGCCTTACATTTTACAAGATGAACAAAGAACTGGGGTCTTAATAATATTATGTCAATTATTTTTTCTCAGTCGGAGTCGATAGGCCCACTGGGCCCTCGGACCACGCCAGACGGCCTGAAACCCAGTCCTCCTTAGCTACGAGAACGTAGCTAAAAACGTTGAGATATACTGATGTGATGGGTGGGTACTTGACAAATTAAACTTACAGGCCAATGTAGTGGCACAACTATCGCCTAACTCCAAATATTCGTGTTTAAATTAATGAAGCGTTGTTTTTATCCGACATACACCGCCATACATCTCCCGTTTAAAAATGGCGGTCATAGTAACGGCTTAACGCCTCGATTTTAAATACGATGATTTATACCTGTTTCAGATAGAATTATATGCTTAATTGTAGTTGGATGTGGCAGAAATGTTATAAATAGCAATAAACAATCGTAGTTTTGAAGAAAAATATTGTCAATTTTGATTACTGAGGCCCGATGTGATTTGCGATGGGCTTTGCTACGTGGAACTAGGCTATATAGCACCGTCTCTTATCTCGAAACACGGAGGCATTCATCGGCCAGGCATTGCACATAAAAATGTTTCTATTAGCCTACGCATTTTGAGAATTTTTATTCAAGTTAAAATCTATGCTATATGTCAAGGTTACTGATTTCAATAACAAATATTTCAGGTTAATTATTCATGTCTCATACTTTTATATGTACTTACATGTACTTGTAGATAAAATGTCATTTATTTGATATATATATACATGTATATATTTATAGAGAGAGATAAATGGGGTTTAACGTCCACTCGACACAAACTAGGTCATTTCGGGACTAACACATGGTTCAAAGACAGATCTAACGTTCTAACCTCCCTTATTTGATATAGAGTCTGTAGATTTTAACATGGTCTACAAAACATCATCTCTTGTTTAAGATATCATAAATCATTTTAATGAACAACAAGCCATGTCATTGAAATACGTGAATACAGCCATTCGGAAGGGTGCGCAGTAGGAGAAACGTTTTCAGCGAAGTGAGCTACTACTGAGAACTGTTGGCTGTTAGCAATTTCAGTGGCATGTTCGGAAAAATATATTACTCTTTTACATGTTGCCTATAGACTCTCTCCCGCAGGCCCGTGGCTAGCCCTAAAATGTGTGTGTGTCGGGGACGGGGCTTCAAAGTCTTCTGGGCGCGCCGATGGGGTTTCTGGTGGGGGGGGGGGGGCGCCGTTGTACCCACACTTGACGGTCCACGGTCTAGTGTGTTCTCTTCCCAAAATATTTTAGAAATTAAGGTTTGCAACTGACCTAACCCTAACTATGAAGGTGATGGAAAATTTCAATTTTGAGCCTGAATGTGCGATATTGGTGTATTATGATATTTTGATATGAACATTATAAAGATTTGAAGGAATGAATACGACTTTAGCGTACCTATAACAATTTATGAGAAAAACGAAAAGTTCGGAATCGGGTCAGAATGCGACTTGTTTGAATTGTGAAGAGTTTTGGGCGCCCAATTCATTCGTAGGGGCGTAACCAATCTCACTCGGCATTATGGGCGCCCCACCAATTATACTATGGGCGCCAATGATCTCGTCATGGGCGGCCCACCAATCTCGGCACTATGGGCGCCCAACGGGATGAGGCACCCCACCCATTATGCCGTTTTAAGCGCCCCATTTATCAAGTCGTGGGTGCCCTACCAATCTCACTCGGCTTTATGCATTAGGCTATGTGGGTCCCACCAATCATGTCATTATGGACACCCCTCCGGGATAAGGCACTCCACAGACACGCCGTTTTGAGTGCCCCATACTGATATGGGTACGTTGGTCGTTGGCTTAGTATTGGGTTCAATGGAAGAGGCGCCTATGTTTCCGGGGGAAGGGGGTAGCCGCCCCCCCCCCCTTTGCTCCCTGCTAGCTACGGACCTGTCCTGGGCATTTCTTGTATAGGCTTCACTTGAGCAGGAGGTGTAGAGTGAACGTCATTTCCCCGCCCCCACCTCTGTCTCTGTTTGACTGTCTCTCCCTCGCTCTCTCTATCCATCTCTCTCTCTCTAGAAATATATATGTTATTTGAAAATGAACACAATCAATCATCGACAAAAGCACTTCTTTTGTAAAACAATTTTCAGAATTTAATGAGTTTCTGCACGTTAAAAAAATATCGCTTTATGTCAATTCTTAACTGATTAATCCCTTGAACACTGTTTTTACTTTCAAATAAGAAACATCGATGATTGTCTTTTCTAACGTCGTAATCTGCCTACGAAGTGCACTTTATGTTGATGGTGTATCCGATTACTTTGTCAGCCTACAGTCAGTCTGATTCCATTTCCCTTCAATTTTAAAAACATGTTTAAACGTTGGTTTGAAATTACTTCTCAGAGTGTACCTACCAACAACACGATCACTTCGATTATCCTTGGGATTTACCAGTCTGATCTATTATTGGGAATTCCCATTTGGAGCTATCATTGGGAATTACCATTTGGGGCTATCGTTGGGATATACCATTGGGGACTATCTTTGGGATTTACCATAAGGGACTATCTTTGACGTTTACTATTGGGATTTACCATTGAAGACTATCATTTGGATTTACCATTGGGGGCTATCATTAGGAATCATCATTGTGTATAATTATTTAAATTGAGCATTCAGGGCTATTTTTGTCAAGGTCGCTGAGAGGTAAATAAGGTTTGGGCACGTGATTGTAGGCGAGATTGTAGGTAAGGGTCAGGGTAAGCATTAGGACTAGATCCAGGGTTAGGGTTAGGATTAGCGCTAGCCCTGTTTACATCTCGTGACCTATGACGAAACATTGAGCTGGCCTTATCATTTAGCACTAACCCTATCATTGGGATTGAACATTGGATTTGTTGCGAATATAGATACCTTG